TGTTGGTGGTTCCGCCGATTTGACCGGCTCCAACCTTACCAGGTGGAAGGGTGCCATCGACTTCCAGCCTCCCGCCACTGGTCTTGGTACCTACGCCGGCCGTTACTTCCGCTTCGGTGTTCGTGAGCACGGTATGGGTGCCATCATGAACGGTATGGCCGCCTATGGTACCCTCATCCCCTATGGTGGTACCTTCCTCAACTTCGTCTCCTACGCTGCTGGCGCCGTCCGTCTCTCTGCCCTTTCTCAGGTCCGCGCTATCTGGGTTGCCACCCACGATTCGATCGGTCTTGGCGAGGACGGCCCTACTCACCAGCCTATTGAGACCCTGGCCCACTTCCGTGCCCTCCCCAACTGCATGGTCTGGCGTCCTGCCGATGGCAACGAGACCAGCGCTGCCTACTATGTCGCCCTTACCTCCAAGCACACCCCCAGCATCCTCGCTCTCTCTCGCCAGAACCTTCCCCAGCTTGAGGGTTCCACCATCGAGAAGGCCATCAAGGGTGGCTACGTCCTCCACGAGGTTGAGGGTGCCGACGTCACTCTTATCTCCACCGGTTCCGAGGTCTGCATTGCCATTGATGCCGTCAAGGAGCTCAAGGAGAAGCACAACATCAAGGCTCGTGTCGTCTCTATGCCCTGCATGGAGGTCTTCGATGCTCAGCCCAAGGACTACCGCCTCAGCGTTCTTCCCGACGGCATCCCCTCTCTGTCTATTGAAGTCATGAGCACCATGGGCTGGGAGAAGTACTCTCACGAGCAGTTCGGTCTCAACCGCTTCGGTGCCTCCGGTGCCTACCTTGATGTTTACAAGGCAAGTATTCCCCTTCCAATTCCGTCTTTGTTTTTCAAAGGCGTGTTTACTAACACTTTTGCGATTTACAGAAGTTCGAGTTCACCCCCGAGGGCATTGCCAAGCGCGCCATCGCTACCATCGACTTCTGGAAGGACGTCCCCAACATCCGCTCTCCTATCAACAGGGCTTTCCAGCAGCTCATTTAAGGAAAAAAAGAGTGTCGTTTCGGGGTTAATGGAAGGGAGCGAGGAAAGGATCGGGAAATCTTGGTTCGGATTTATAAATAAGGCAATATTAAGAGCGCGGGCGACATTCTATCAGGAAAGAATGTCAGTCTATGCTTTAAGAGGGTCAGGCGCGGCAACAAAAGCCGCCGCCCTCATGAGACGAGTGTTATGAAAATAGAATCCATTTAAAAGTTCACATAGCGTTATGTTATAGTATCGCAGTTCGCTGATCCCGCTGGACAAGCAGACGCGCAAGGTATCGTGTTTGATGCTTTGGCGTCAACAGTCATGGTTACACGCTTTTTGGTGAGGTCAGTTTTAATCGTGTTTGGTGCCGTGACAATGAGAACCCCTGTGGCTCGCTGAATGCGACACCCCTGCCGGTCGATGTTACTGGCGGCAACCAGATGCCAGCTGGCCGCTCAAGGCACTGTTGCAGCTCCCTAGCATGTTGCCCGCGATGCGATAGCTTGGGAGCCCCAGGAAGCGACAACAACCACCAATCCAACGACAACCGGACCTGCTCTGTCCTGTTCTATCCATTCCGAAGCCCGTCCACTTATAGTGACGGTTGACATTAATCACAATCTCTCTAAAATCACTTCCAAGCTAGTTGAATTCTGGCGGAATTGCTTCTGTTATTAGCAAATACCAGCAACATCATAGAGCTAGCTAATCATGACGGACGAAGACAAGGCCAAGGCCGAGAAGGTCGCCGCCGCTAAGAAGAGGGTATAGTACCGTGCTTGGCTATGTGTAACACTTCGAGGTTTAGCCCACATGTACTGACAATCACTCCTTCAGCTCGAAGCACTGAAGAAGCAGAAAGCCAAGAAGGCTGGCGGCGCATCCAAGAAAGAGGAGAAGAAGGAAGACAACCCGCCAGCATCCGAAGAAGCCCCTGCCGAGACTCCTTCGAGCCCCAAAGATTCAGTGAACGAGACCGAAGAACAACCATCCGAAGAAGTCACATCCCCGACGGCTGGGGAACCGACAGTCGAGGAGCCCGCGGCGACTGATCCAACCACCGCTGAAGAGGAGGAGGAGAAGGCCGAATCCCCGGCTCCTTTGCAAACACCAACACTCTCCTCTCTCGCCGAACAATCGCGAGCCCGGTCAACTTCCTTCCGCAATGCCTCCATCTCAGGCGCCCCCGGCCCGCTGTCCCCCAGCTTCCTCAGCCCAGAAGGCGAGACCGCCCCTGACATCTACCGCAAGCACGTCAGTCGCATAGAAGAGCTAGAGAAGGAAAACAAGCGACTAGCCAAGGAAGCCGCCGACGCAGAGAAGCGGTGGCAGAAGGCAGAGGAGGAGCTAGCAGACTTCCGCGAGGCGGAAGATGGCAAGCAAGGCGGGGAGGGGGCCGAGAACGTGGAGAAGCTTAAGAACGAGCTAGCCGCGCTGCAGCGCCAGAACACACAGCTGCAATCGCAACTAGCGCGTGCAGGCGGAAACGGAGCCGGAGGCGGCGCCCACGGCCGCTCGCCGTCCATCTCGGTGGGCGGTGGCGGGTCACCGTCGGCTGCGACGGCGCAGCTCGAAGCGCAACTACAGAGCAAGTCGGCGACGATCGAGACGATGGAGCTGGAGATGTCCAGGCTGCGCGCGCAGGTGGAGAAGCTGTCCGCTTCGGCGTCGGGGCCGTCCGAGCAGATTGCGGCGCTGGAGGAGAAGCTGGCGAGGGCGGAGAAGGCGGCCGGGCTGGCGCAGCAGGAGCTGGCGGATTTGAAGCAGAATTTGGATAGAGTGTCGAAGGAGGCGGTCAAGGAGGGGTCGCAGCGCGCGTCGGCGGAGACCAAGCTACGGACGCTGGAAAAGGAGGTGGAGGAGGCGAATAAAGCCAAGGACGAGTTGGCGAAGAAGGCGGAGGCGCTGGAGAAGAAGGTCGCTACGCTTACGACGTTGCACAAGGAGCAGGATGGCAGGACACAGGCTCTCAGGAAGGATAAGGAACTTGTGGATAAGGAGGTGGCGGAGTTGAAGCAGACGGTTGAGAAGTTGGAAGAGGAAAACCTGAAGCTACGGAAGAAGGACGCTCGGGAAGGCGGCGGTGTAGAGGAAGGTCTGGATGAGCTTGAGGAGGAGGGCCGTCTCAAGTTGGAGAAGCGTATCAGAGAGCTTGAAGCTGAGAACACCGATCTCAGGAGGGGCATCTGGCATGAGAAGAGGAAGGAGCTGCAAGTCGGGCCTGAGGCGTTCGAGACTGTCGACCTCAGCGGTGGACTGCACTCGTCCGCACACGGCCACCAGCACCACAAGAGCCGGGGTGGGCTGGGGGACTTCTTCACGAGTGGCCTTAATGCGCTCACCGGCGCAGCGGGTGGCAGTGATCATCATCATAGCCACGGCGGTGCTCTTGATGAGTTGCTCGAGGATGATGACATGGAGTTTGATGAGGAAGCATTCCGTCGTGCACATGAGGAGGAACAGAAGAAGAGACTTGAGCGAATCAAGGAGCTCAAGAGGGCGCTGAAGAACTGGGACGGCTGGAGGCTCGACTTGGTGGAGAATAGGCGGGGTGGTGGTGAGGGTATTGGTGAGATATTCGAGGTCTGAAAAGAAGGGGCCGGGTCTGCGGTCATTTACTCTGGAATATCAGTTTCCTAGCCTTCGTATGATGCAGGCTGTGAATAGAGAACACTCATATCGTAATGTGCTATGCAAGATTCATGTTGTACAGCTAGCAACGATTCCGAGGATGTAATATTTGTTCGGTCGTCTATTTTCTTCTTCTTCTTCTTCCTCATCTTCTTCCTCATCTTCTTCCACGTCTCTTGACACATCTTGCGAACTATCAATCGTCGACACTCCGCAATTTATCTATTTCCGAGAACTTTTCAGTCTTTTGCCAGTCTCGAGTAAGACTATCTTTCCGCCATCGCATAGTGTCATCTTTTCCATCAACACCGTCTTCTCCAGTCTCAACCCCTCTCCAATGGCATGAGTCCCTCTCTAGCCTTTCTTTCTTGTGACTAACTCAGAGGCCTTACCTGCTCGTTCCCCCATTCATCCTGCTCCGTTCTTGCCTGTGTTCATATTATCTGTCTTCCAGCGCATCCTCTCCTCCTCCTCAACGCGACAGTCGACACGTGGCTACGCGGCTACGGAAAAAATCGGGCTTTCCTGAGCTGATTTCTCCGGCATCGTTGCTGTCGGGATCGAGCAACGCATGTCTGCCCCTACGGGCGTTCCCAACTTCTTACATCTACCTAGCCGTAACGAGGGAAGAGGGCGGGTACTTCGTAGGAAGGTGACGGTTGATGTATAGGTAAGTATAGAAGGCTCCTCCTTTCCCAAGAAAGAGCTACCGCTAGTGTAGAAGGAAGCTGTTGTGAAAGGGCATCATGTGATGGCTGTCAAGGAAGGAACATGATGTCAGAGATAGGCTGGACGGAAGGTTGGAAGTCTGTATGCTGCAATGAATTGTGTATATAAACCCAGCCCCCCTCCTCAAAACACACTTGTTGGCTCCATTTGCTCGTCACAATAATCACATGTCCGATTTGCTTTTTTTTTTTTTTTTTGGCCTTTACTCATTTGCCTTATATTCACTTCTTCGACTTTACTGACGGCTTTTTTCCCCCACCAAGATCGCAAATTCTCTGGCTTGAAGCACTTTGCGAGTTTGCTCTGGCGAGGTCTCATTTCCACTACAACTGGGTTTGTATGTTGTCCCTCCAAGGCGTCAAAGGTCTACGTCAGTGAAGACAGAAGTCCTAGTCATTTCATTCGGTGAGTTTCCCCCAGAATCGATACATCCATCGTCCATCGATTTGGTTTATGCCATGGTGCGGTCCTTAGCAAAGGTACCTAGCTATCTGTCGCTAACACGTTGAGATAGGGCAGAGCTGTGAATTTACATTGACATTAGGAGGGACCGAACAAGGTCTTTCTTCGTCTTCCGCATATCGGTACACGGTTCATCTTGAAGGGCACCGTGCAATTCACATAAGTTTCTCGCATCCATTCGAGGCAAAATGAACCCTGCCAACAATGTAGCTGAATCTCTACGTCGTCTCGAAGAAGAGGTGGAGCAACGACAAAGTATTCTACGTCTCATCAACCTACCCGACAGGACGGCCGAGAAAATCTACACCGACAAAGTCCGACTCCTAAATGGACTTCATGCCGTTGAGCAACTGGAATTACTCGAAAGCGAGTTGCTAGACAACTTTTCCATCGATCAGTTTGGCAGAATTCAGGTTCACACCCCTGACTCATTGTGCAAAAGCTTCGCGAAAGAGTTCATACATGTCAGAAAAGTAAGAGAAGCCCGGTCAATCTTGATGTCGCTTGTGAAGGAGCTCCTCCACGATATCAGGGAAATCTGGCGTGCAGAAGGTCCCAGATACCCCGAGCATTTCCCGTGGTTCACGCTCTTATGGGGTGTCCAGGAGCTTGGGAATTCCGAACATCCCATCCCGGAGACCATATTGGATAGCGCCGCAGAAATTATTGACACTTTCTGCCACAAAATACAAGGAATGAAAGTGCTTGCACAAAAGACATTACTTGAAATGCAATTGTCAGAAATCAAGAGTGGGAGGATCAGTGACATTTGTCATGCCTTTGGGTTACGCGACGTTGATTGGCGAAGCATAGAGGCTCATCTTTTAAGAGGCGACCGACCTACTCTGGAGACATATGTTGAGGGGAGGATTTCTCTATCGGGGAATCTTGAGAAGTTTCTTCAGACTGCTTCTCGCGTTCGTAGCATTCTCGAAAACTACCGTGTGTTGTTTATATTTGGCTTCAATCCCGAGCAATCATGAAGCTGGGAGTTATGTTGGACTGGCAAGATCAGTATTTCTTTGCTCCGAGAAGTGTCGTTTCCGCTTTGAGAATTATCTGCTCGGAACGAAGCATCTTAGCTGCCACCATCCGGTAGTGTTCGTGTATTTGTAAGATCATCGGTACAGGCAGACAATGGGAGGGAAATACATAGGTAGCACGAGATTAAAAAACAAGACCAAGTCTATCAAACTTGTGGTGTTAAGATCGATGACACGGGGTTTCCCGTGAGGAAACCACGAGGCACACGATGGGGCCCGTTGAGGGACCCGTTGAGGGAAGCAGCTACCTCTGGGCATGAGCTGCATATAAGGCCCGTCAACGGAGCCTTTAGCTCTCTCAACAGTTAGAGAATCAACATCATGACATTCATCATCCATCGGGTGCTACGCTGGTCCACGTATCAATCGAAGCCTGGTCAATCAATGTCAGCGTTTAAGACGAAGCATTATAATGATTAGACGCTCCAGGGGAGCAAACGTCTCGTTTCTCGTTCATCTCAACTTTGCTATCTCGTCTGAAGGTGTACTATAAAAGGACCTCTTCTTCCTCGACCCGGAACGGAAACTTCTCTCCCTTTCCAACAACCATCTCGAACTTTGGTTCTCGCCAAGGTAGCCTCAGTTGGCCAAAGCAGTCCCCTCCGCTACCTACATTAGCCTTGTCAAGGCCCTTTTGTTCTCACAAGCCTGGTGCTCTCAAGCCACTCATACTTGCTGCTTCGGCAGCAGGCGATGGGAACCTGATTACCACGACACACTCAACCCTCAGACCTTCGACCCTGTGACTACCCCAGCCTTGATCCTCGTTCGAGAGGATACGGAAGGCACATCGCGCCGTAGGACTGCATTTCAGTGACATATTTTATTATCGGCAAGTATTTTCTCTTTCGCCTTCGTTTTATCTCCCATTCGTCGGGTCAAGTTCACCCTCGGTAACGTTTCGCGACCAAATGTTTCGAGCGATATCAGATTTAACTCAGACTATAGTAGATCAAAATCATACTTTCTCCACGGCTAGGCTGTTACGCAGAGCATAAAGACTCGTTTGATCTTCTACGACGTGCTCCTGATTTGTATCGCCATCATGCCGTCCTCGTCACAGCATGGTGCTTCTCAGAAGCGTAAGCGTGACGCAGCACAAGACTCCGAAAGCCAGGGCATCCACGACGCGACGAGAATAACTCGTGGTCTTACGCAGATCTTGGAGGAACCTGACTCAAATCGTATCTCAGACGAAGCAGTTCTTTTCAATGCCACCAGCACCATTGAATTCATGCACGATTATGAAAGACTTGTGACGGAGACGGACATTTCCATCTCCAATTCCAGGGACATCCTCAACGACATTGGGATGGACGCTTTTGGCCGCCTTTTCATTGAGAGGCGGAAACAATCGGACCGCACCTACCACCAGGAGTTCCGCTTCATTGCTTCTTTCATCGGCACTAGACGGACTATATTGGAAGCCATCAAGGAGCTTCTTGATCAAGTTCACCCATTGCCTGGGATTAGTCCATGCATCAGCATTGTATGGGACTTGGCGTCATTTGCACACACAGCCGCCGAAAAGGAAATGGAGAATGTGGATCTCCTGGAGTTTGATGACCTTCGTGGTGAAGCCCAGGAAAAGCTCGGGCAGAAAATCTCGGACGTTGAGCGCATGATTCAGTTCTACTCGGAGCTAGATATCAGGGATGCATGGACGGTAAACTTACTGAAGAGCACCTCAGTCTTCGAGCTACTTCAGTTAAGGCCCGATGATGTGAAGGCACTGAACGACCTCCCCAATGTTCAAGATATCTCTGATTTTCTTAACAAGAAGCTAGAGCCTTTCAAGAAGCTTCGTGGGCTGGTTGAAGCTCTTGGGATGGCGTTCTGAGTGTTGACCATACTTGACGGCAAAACAACCAGGAAGTTTACCTGCCACTAATATTACAAAAAGCGATATTGTTCAACTTCCAGATATAATCATCGATAGCCATATCGGTTTACCAAGCAACACACAGACTCAGATTCCGAGGCCTACAAACAGACAGCAGCATGTTACCCAAACTCACGCCTCATGGTCACTTACTTCTAGTTTCCCCTGGCCTGTTTTTTTCTTCTTCTTCATTCATACCCGTCGGTGTCTATCCCAGCGTTATCAGCGACCAAGTCTAATAGAACATACACTCTCTTTTCTTCCCAGTTCAGCTGACGACATGACACGAAAGTCTGATTCAACCAACCCAGCCCTTCCTTTATCCAGCCCAGCTGACGAAAGTATACGTACATCATCGTAATCATCGGCACCTTTCGGGCAACAGACACAGGAAGATGCGGGGCTGACCTTACAGAACCTTCACATCTCGGCATAGAAGACGCAGCGGCCTGGGATTCTGTGAATACTCGGCTATCTACATAACGAACCCGGAGATATGATTGAGTGGTTAACATTTGAGGCAAGCTATCTTCGCAGTAGTTGGGCTGAGGTTTTCGCAGATAGCTAGACAGATAGTCAGCTACGTCAATAATCTGATTCTGTCCATCAGCTTTGCAAGCGCCCCTCGTATTTTCATGCTGCGTATCATGGTGGCCTCAGTGCCCAAAAGAAAAGAAGGAACAAAATGCCATGCCGAGTCCACATGATATACGACATAGCAATCATACATCATCACCTGGTAGACGAACTAAGAACGGGTGTAAACAGATAGTGAACATTAAGGATATCAAAACGTAAAGATATGGATGATTTGACCCCCAGTTAAGCAATCCTACTGCACCAAGCCATTCATTTCCATACGTCAACACGGCAGTGCTGCCTCGCTATCCATGGCATGGAACAGGTACCTATCTGTATATGAAACCAAAAAGAACAGCCGTATATCGACCCATATCAGATCATAACATGCTCGGTTTAATAAAAAAACAAACACAGTAGTATGTCAAGACGGCGCTGCCCCAGCAATAAACAACTCCGCACCCGGCCTCCTCGCCCTCGCCACATCCTTCGCACCACCATCCACCTGCGCACCAGTCGCGGTCGCGGTCGCGCTAGCAGGCGGTTCGCTCTTCTCCTCAGTCAAAAGCATGATGTTATCCAAACTGCTTGTGCTCGAACCCGAACTGTCATTGCTGTCACTGTTGTTGTTGTTCTTGGTCGGCTCACCAAGCCTCTTGTTCTCCTCCTCCTGCGCTCCGGCATGCGGCGTCAACGTCGGGCTATGCACCATGCCGTCAGGGCTATGCTGCCACTTTGCGACCTCGGCCTTCATGGCCTCGAGCTCCTTCTGGAAGCGCTTGCCGAACACGTCGATGTAGTAGGTGGACCCGTTGTATACGGACCATGTAAACACGCCCATGAGAAAGACGGCCGACAGCCAGCGGTAGTAGAACCAGAGCGGGCAGGGCAGCATGGTCAGGACCGCGTACGTGTACTGGATCAGCATGAAGGCCGGCTCCTGCAGGGAGTTGGGCAGGTTCAGGATTGCCTTGCCCAGCCAGTTCTTGGAGTACGACTTGCGCAGCCATGTGAACGAGGTGGGGCGGCCGGCGGCGATCTTGTCGCGGCGCCGGACCGTGATAAAGAAGTAGTACGCAAGCTGCCAAATGGCGTACGGGATCGTGGACCAGGCCAGCATGGAGATGACGTTGGCGTAGGCGGTCGGGGAGCCGGGTGGAGAGGTCTTGATGGTCCAGATGGACGGAAAGCGCTTGCGCTGTTCGGCTGGGTCGAGGAGGTGCACAATGCAGTGCAGGGTGGCGCACGGCATGATGTGAATGAAGAGCGAGGTGACCTTGTCGAGACTGTGGAAGACCAGGGAGTTGCGCCACATGATGATGGCTATGGCATTGTTGCCGTAGGCTAAGCAATAGACGGCGGTGAAGAGGCGCTTCGAGCCGGGAAACACCCACAGGCTGAGGAGCAGGAGAAAGTTGACAAAGTAACAAAGGTCAGCAAGGAAGTAGTGGTAGCCCTGCTTGTGGTAGCGGTAAAACCGTATGGGCATGAAATAGAGGATCTGAACAGTGTACCAGATATGGAACCATTCGGGGAACGCGCCAATCAAGTAACCGCTGATAAAGATGTTCATGACGCCGAAGATGAAGGCTACTTTCTCGCGGAGAGTGATGACCTTGGTGTCGTTCCAGCGCCTTCCTAGCTTATCAACGTTGACGCGCATCCGCTTTTTGTATCGCTCCAGCTGCTCCTCGGCCGTGGGGACCCGTTTGCGCCATTCATCCACCATGCGCTCTCGAGCGATCGCACTCTTTTCTTTCAGGGCCTCGCCGGACTTGCGCATCTTCTCTGTTCGGGCGTGGATGCCTCTTTGCAATTTCTCCAGCTGCTGAGGGAGCGCGAAATTATCGAGAAGGTCGAGAACAGTCAAGCGATCGAGAGGGGGAAAGACATCCCACTCGTCGTGAAGAGTGCTGCTTATGCTACCCGAAAACGACGAGTTCCTCGATAATACGGCTGGACTTTTCGGGGTCGTGACATCGAGAGTTGGGGTATTCGGATCATGTTCTCCGGGCGAAGAGTTCAGGGGCGGTGTTGAGGGGGTGTCTGGGGTCAAGATGGCCTCGCCATCGGTAGACGGTGCGCCTTCTGACTTGTGGCTCAGTCCCGACACCGGGAGACTGATCTCCGGTTCCGCCAGATCGGCCATGGTTGGTGATTCGTGTTCTATATGTTCTTGCTCAAAATACGACAATGTTATCCAAATGGGTGATATGGAAGGAATAGGGTTTCTGTGGAGGGGCAATGGGTCAGATTAAATCCGCAGAGACATGATGGCCATCGCAGGGAAAGATGGTCTGTTCATGTTTGATATGTACTATGTAGTCGGAACCCCTCGTGTGGTGGAGATTTACTTACACAGCCTTCAAATGGCGACGTCAATAGATGGAGAAGGCTTGTAGGTACAATGGTGTAATTGGCAGAAGTGAAACCGGCAGCAGGTGCTTTTGGGGTCGAGGGGATGTCGTAGCTATTTCTAGATGATCAAATGTGGAGCACCAAGCTCGAGACGAGATGATTGTCGTCAAGATTGGGCTGCAGCGCGTTGCAAAAGTTGTGTTGTGTTTCCGGCAGCATGCGGACAGTGGCGGGTCGGGGATTCTTGTTGGCTCCCGTCAAACAGCTTTGCAGGGAAAAGAAGAGACGGGATGCACCGGGAAAATGACATATGCACACGTGAATTATGGTGATATCGCTGCAGATGGACTTCACGATACTGAACTCGGCGTGGAGGATAGATAAGAGACTTGGATAAGATGGATACACGTGGTCTGAATTTGATCAGATTAAAGGCTGGGGAGATGAGGAGAAAGTAGATGATAAAAAAAAATTGGACCACGTGTGACTCTCAATGTCTCGGATTTGAAGCTGGAAAAAAAAGAAGACCTTGTGACGACTGACGACGGCGGCGTGTTAGTGTCGTTGGTGCAAGGTCTCCAATGACGGTTCTGACGGTGTATGGATGCAGGTTCTCCCAGCATGTGATGCAAGCAGGCCTAACATTGACAGAGAATGCGACCATTGGCGCGCTGACGTTATGGCTGCAGATTTTAGTGTATCAGAACTTAGAACCCTGGAAAACTGCCACAACCTATCTGTCATGTCAGTCAAGCCATTTACGCCACATCTTTCGTCGTTTTGCTGTCAACCGATGGAGATCACTGAACTCTATCGAGCACAGAAGGTCCTCGTCAAGAGATCCGAGAAGATCCGGAACATTGAAAGCTTGATTTCGTTTGTTTTGTAAGGCTGGACAGACCCGTAGCATCCTTGGCTGGGAGTACAAGTCCCACAAAGGCAGGTCCAGAACATCGCTGCCTCTTAATGCTCGCTGGTTAGGTGTCCTAAAGCAAGGCTAAATTTATCAGCAAAACAAACAAAAAACCTACATGTGCTGCGGATACAGCCTCTACCGAGCAAGGTATCCTCGTGTTGTTCTCAAACCGTTTGGGATTTGATCTCCTTCAGCTTCCTGTGGTGTAATACATATCAGCCCTTGTAGGTTTGTTAGCGTGGTTCTTGCCCCATATCTTCCTACAAGGGGGTGACGGGGGATTGCAAGGTAGGACACGTCTATTTACACGATCTGATTGGCTGAAATCGCCTGATCACAAGGTAAAAAAGAGTCGATAGGAGGGATTCAACCTGCCACACACAAACCCCCTTATAGTGGCTTAGAATCACCGAAATTACCAAAATTACTAAAATCAACCCCTACTACCCTCTATAGTCGGTATGATTGTAGGGTATATATAGGGCATTTACAATTGTTATATTTCTTTATCTTCTACCTATGCAAAACCCTTGTATGTAGGTACCAAGCTAACGAACCTACCAGGGCTCAAGTGTACTCAAAAAGACAACGAGGTGGACATGGCTACTTGTAAGTCATGGGCTATAACCCTAACCCCTGATCCCGTTCCAGCCGGCTCGCCCTGCCGCCGTTGAAGCGTGGGCGCACAGCTCGAATGAATCGTTGGATGGTCCAAGCGCCCATCTGTCTGTCCTTCAATCGCTCCGAGTGCCTGTGCAGCACTCCCCCACCTCCTGCAGGATGCGACAGATGCTCTACCTTGGCGACCTGCGCTGCCCTGGGCAAATTATTGGGGAAACGAAGTCGCGACACTGGATTAACCCGGTCGACCTTGTTGCCGCTACCGCGCCCACATCTGCCTGCGATTCCAAGCTTGGTTGCGATTCCAACCCATCGCACCACCCTCGACCTGTTTACGCGCCTTTTGATGTTCCCCGATCGCGCCGTCACCGCGGATTCATGTTGGAGCGCGTCGAGTCTCCATTTCTAGCGAGTATCGTCTGCGCTAGCTCAACAACACTATAACCAGTATTCCCATTTGCATACCTTCGGCGCGTCCTCCTGCAGGACATCAACAACCGCAAACATGGGCAAGCTCATCCGTCTCGAGCTTTTCAGTAGGTCTTGAATTCTGCTCTTCGCGAAGCACGACACCTTGGTCGCGAGCGTGCCGAAACTCACCATGTTTGCCGTAAACCAGACTTCAAGTCCTACAAGGGCCACCACACCCTCCTGTTCGGCGACTCCTACTTCACCTCCATCATCGGTCCCAATGGCTCGGGAAAGTCAAATTCGTAAGTTGCACCGGGTTGAGGTCGATAGGGACTGCTTTTATATTGACGGGCGCGCGCGTTGCTAGGATGGATGCCATCTCCTTCGTCTTGGGCATCAAATCGTCACACCTCCGATCGACCCATCTCCGAGACCTCGTCTACCGTGGCCGTGTCATGAAAACCTCGAAAATCCAAGAAGATGGCACCGCTGCCCCCGCTACTAACGGCGTCAATGGGCACGAAGACGGCGAAGACGAAGATCCTTCCCAACGGTCATCGAGGAACGACCCCAAGACGGCTTGGGTCATGGCCGTCTACGAAGACGATGCTGGCGACGAGCAACGGTGGAAGCGAACCATTACAAATAGTGGATCCAGCGAGTACCGCATCAACGATAGAGTGGTTACCGCCCAGCAATACAACGATGCGCTTGAGGCTGAAAATATCCTGATCAAGGCGCGTAACTTCCTGGTTTTCCAGGGAGACGTTGAAGCCATTGCCTCGCAGTCGCCTCAAGATCTTACACGCTTGATCGAACAGATATCCGGAAGTCTCGAATACAAGGCCGATTATGAGAAGTTGCAGGCCGAGGTCGAGCAGGCTGCTGAGAACCAGAATTTCCAGCTGCACCGGAGAAGAGGCATCAACTCGGAAATCAAGCAGTATCAGGAACAAAAGAAGGAGGCCGAAAACTTTCAACGGAAAACCGAGGAACGGGATGAGGCCGTCATTACCCATATCCTGTGGAAGCTATATCACTTTCAGAAGGTCATGGACGAGTCTAGCGCGCAAATCCAGGAACACCAGGAAAACCTTAAAGAGTTCCGTCGGAATGTTGAAGCCTTTGAAAACAAACTGGATGCTGCTCGTAAGGAGCAGGCTACGGTAGGACGTGAGGTGGGCAAGGTTGAGAGGAACATCAAGGCCAAGGAAAAGGACATTGAAGACAAGGAAAACAGTCTTGTGCCAATCGACGAAAAGATTGCGCAAAGCACCCAAGATATGGGTGTGCTACGGAAGCGCATTGTCGAAGTGAAAAAAGACCGCGACAGCCAAGCATCTAGCATCTCCAAATTGCAAAAGGACCTCGCCACCGTGGAGAAAGCGCAGCAGCAGTTCGAAAAGCAATGGGCCGAAACACTCAAGAAGCAAGGCAAGGAGCTTAGTGATGAGGACCGCAAGGAATATACTAGTCTTCAAGCCGAAGCTATGAAGAAAACTGCCGACAACCGGGCCAAGCTGGCCAACCTCACGCGCCAGCTCAAGAGTGACGAGGTCACCGTCAACAGCCTGAAAGGGAAAATCGACAACTTTGAGGCCGCTATTGAAAAGCTGCAGACCGAGGTGCAGTCGATCAAGGATAGAAAAGACGCCAGCCAGGACGCGGTACAACAACTCCGAAGCGATATCGCCGCCAAGAAGAAAGAGTATAACAAACTCCAGTCTGAGCGCGTAAGGATAAACCAGACCAGAACCGCCCAGGAGGAGAAGCTGCGGGAAATCCTTCGCAAGCTGGAGGATGCGGAATCTGGCCGGCGTCAGAATGAGAAGGAGACAAGATTGAGGAACATGATCAGCGACCTCAGGCGCATCTACCCAGGTGTCCGAGGCCGGGTTGGAGATCTTTGCAAACCCAAACAGAAAAAATTTGACGAGGCGGTCATCACAGCCCTTGGACGTGACTTCGATGCAGTTGTGGTGGACACCGAGAAGGTTGGGATGGACTGCGTGCAGTATCTCAAGGAGCAGCGATTTCCTCCCTTGACGTTTATTCCGCTCGACAACATCAAGGTCAACAGCTCAGTTTCGGCAGTTAAGGGCATTTCCGGAGCACGACTGACCATTGATACAATTGACTTTGATCCTTCCCTCGAGCGTGCCATCAGCTACGCTTGTGGTGGATCTGTCGTCTGCGACAATCTCCATATCGCAAAGGACATCGTATACGGTAGAAAGATCCAAGTCAAGGCTGTCACGCTGGAAGGTTTCGTAATTCACAAGGCTGGTACCATGACTGGTGGCCGTTTGCCTAATGAGAAGGGCGGCAAGCGTCGGTTTGAGGAACATGACATCCAAAATCTGCAACGGATGGCACAGTCACTGAAAGACGAGGTGGCAGCTTTGGCGCACTCTGGGCGACGAACCGCCAAGGAGGATGCTTTGTTGGTCGAATTCACGGCGCTTGAACAACGCCTCAAGATTCAGGAAGGTGAACTGGCCGCCTTTGAGAAGAATCTCAAGAGCAAACAGAAAGAGCTCGACCATCAGGAGCGGCAGCTGGACGACTACGAGCCCAAGTATGAGGAAAAGCACGGCGAGTTGGAGCGGACGCGGGCAACGGTACAGAAGTTCGAAAAAGCCATCTCAGACGTCGAGGATAAGATCTTTAAAGATTTCTGCAAGAGACTGGGCTACGAGAACGTCCGTGCCTACGAAGCCCAGCAGGGCACTTTGGAACAAGAAGCTGCCCAGAAGCGGCAAGACTTTGATATCCAAAAACAACGCATCCAGAGCAACATCACATGGGAGACGTCACAGCACACGGCGACCAGCGACAGGATACACTCACTAGAACGGACCCTACAACGGCATGAACGAGATCTTGATACATACCGACAAGAGAAAGCATCGATCGAAGAGGAACTGGCGGAAGACCGGGAGGCGCTCGAGGAGCTTGAGCAGAGTCTAGAAGAGTTCAAGGTCTCCCACGCAGAAAAGACCAAGAAGGTTCAGGAGGCCAAGCAAGACCTACAGAGGAGGAGCAGAGACATAGAAGTCAGGTTGAAGGAGATCAGCAATCTGGAGGCTACAGTTCAGCAGAGTAGTGCTCAAAAGCTTGCCCTGCTCAGGAGATGCAAGCTTGAGCAGATCCAGATTCCTCTTCAACAAGGCTCTCTCGACGACATTCCAAACGAGGACATGTTACTCCAGAAGGACCAGGATGCCATGGATGTTGATGGCGAGGATGAAGAGCAGGAAGCCGAGCTTCTCGAAGCTGCCATGGACGACTACGGTGTCGAAATCAACTACGACAACCTCGATGACGCACTACTCCAAGACCCGAACGACGAAGTCGAAGAGAAGCTGCAAGAAAAGATCTCGGCCCTCACGGCCGAGATCGAGAAGCTCAACCCCAACATGCGCGCCATCGAGCGTCTCGAGTCGGTCAAGTCGCGCCTCGAGTCCACGGAAAAGGACTTTGAGGACTCGCGCGCCGCCCTCAAGGCGGCACGGGATGCCTTCAACCAGGTCAAGGACAAGCGGTTCGAGCTCTTCAACAAGGCCTTCACGCACATTCAGGAGCAGATCACGCACGTGTACAAGGACCTCACGCGCTCAGACGCCTATCCGCTCGGTGGGCAGGCGTACCTGGATATCGAGGAGGACACGGACACCCCCTACCTGTCGGGCATCAAGTACCACGCCATGCCGCCGCTCAAGCGGTTCCGCGACATGGAGCACCTGTCGGGCGGTGAGAAAACCATGGCGGCGCTGGCGCTGCTGTTTGCGATCCACAGTTACCAGCCGTCGCCCTTTTTCGTGCTGGACGAGGTGGACGCGGCGCTGGATAATGCCAATGTGGAGAAGATCAAGAAGTACATCCGCGAGCATGCGGGTCCTGGAATGCAATTTATCGTCATTAGTCTCAAGGCTGGGCTGTTTCAGGATAGCGAGAGCTTGGTGGGTGTTTATCGCGATCAGGACGTGAATAGCTCCAAGACCTTGACGTTGGATGTGAGTTTCTTCCCCCCTTGTTGTTGTTGCTGACCATTTGAGGATCGTATACTAACACGGATTATCACTACAGCTTCGCAAGTACAACTAAGTAGTCATTGGTAGTGGAGGACACCGTGTAATGCCATGTCATGTATGGCCTCCCGTTAGGCGGCGGGGATCTGATGGTTATGTGTGTGAACTGGGTGAAACCACTTCAGGCGGGCGGGCAGTGTAAACAAATCGATCGGAAGGAGTTCAAAGGAAGGTACCATCAATCAAGTAAAGGGTAGCTCAACTGCATAATGGTTTCAAGGATAGATGTGCTTTCTCGCGATTTTAGTCTGTTCCTTTTAATGAACCCCCCTTGCCTCCCATCCTCATTTTGTGGTGTCTTTTTGCTTGTGTTCAGGTATGTGCTGCATTCGTCTATGTACAAATTGGCTATGCTCAAGGGGCTCAAGGGATAGAAGCAAAGCAATGATGAGTCCTTCTGTCTCCGAAGTATGAGCTTCAAACCTCGAGTTCCACTTCCTTCTCTATAATTTATGAAGTTTTCCTTTCATGCGAAGGAAGTAACCATGCCCACTCGGTAGATTTTCCCCCCTACCCCAATTCCCGGATGCTTCAGCTCTCTGTGTTTAAAGGAGCAGTAGCTGTTCCCACGTGTTTCTCATATCCCTCTTTGACGCATGCTTGGTTGCTTTTTTTGTTGTGCGTATCATTCCCAATCTTGTCTGGTAAAACCAATCTGATGTAGTTTGTGGTTTCGTGCGGTAATTTTTACGTCCAAGGACCGCATGAAGCGACTCTATGGCCCACCTCATATCATAGTAGCCATCGTGATCATAGAGTGATCGATGATGTTCCCGCCAATGCATGTTAAAGTTCGTGTCTTTCGCTAGGCTCCTTAGAGCCTTTCATTCTCGTTCTTTTCTCCCTTTGAGTTGTGCCAGACCTGTTTATTCTGCTCACATAACATCCTCAAACTCGAGATCATCCTCCTCCTCATCGCCGCCCTCCATGTTGAAGCTCATAGGCATGTGCTCTTCATCCTTGACAGAGATATCGCCCTGGATCTCCATCTTGACCTTCTTAGCTGGAGGTTCATCCTTAACCGCCGCTTCATCCTTAACCGCCGACGACGAATCAAGCAGCGACGCAGCAGCCGGACCGCTACCCTTGAATCCGCCCGTCGTCGGTACCGAGCTGGACGTGATCCATTCCGGCAGCGCATTCTGCCTCAGCAGCTCCTCCTGCCTCTTCCTCGCCGCCTCCGCTTGCTCCGCATCGTCATCGCCCGTCGAGATGATCACCTGCATCGTCTTGGGGCCCGTATTGGCCAAACCCTTGACGGCGCTCGGCTTGTTGAGCGCCGTGTCCACCGGCACGCTAGGCGCCACCTCGTGCGTCTCCAGTCTGACGATGGGCCTGGCATTCGCCAGTGCCAGATCAAAGTTGCATTCGGGTATGACTACCTTGTCGACCTCCTGCAGCATATCCGTCATGAACTTGAACTGGTTGTTCATCCTCGACAACTGCTGATGCCCGGGGGCCTCGCGCTCTTTGGCCTGCTCCAGCACGGCGCCGCATCTTTGACAGGTAAACCCGCGCGAGGAGACCGAGTCGAGAACCTCCATTTGGCTCCACTGCGCTTCACAACCCACGCGCGGGCACACGTACTCCTTGTTTTCCTCGGACGGCTTGGCAATCCCTTGCATGTCCTTGTCGGTCTTGTACACCCGCCACTTGATGGCGTCGATGGTCTGTCGGTAGTCGATGTAGTAGTACGTCTTGTTCTGCGGGCGCGTCTTTCCCGCCTGGAGCTCGGGTCGCGTGTGCACGACCAGGAAGCGGGCGTCGCGGAGGCCGGCGCACGCTTTGTGTAGGTCTTTGTTGCCCAGCTTCATCAGATGACCGAGGTCGTCGTCGCGGAGGCAAGAGTGCTGGACAAGGGCGTCAATGATCAGGATCTCTTGCGTGCTGTAGAAGGCGCGCATGACGCAGCGGATGAGGGTTTTGGCGATGTCCATGTTTGGCGACTGGCCCCGTTGCGGGTGCGCTCCCTTTTGTTGTTAATTTCCTTCCAGTGGTGGTGGGTGGGTGCGCGATGTATGTTGGTTGATCAATGGGTGAACTGCTGTTTTGGTGGGTGACAGGGAGGGACCAGCGCTGGGAGTGACAGTATGGGACGAGAGTCAACGAAAAACAGCCACCCGGCCGGCGGCGATAAGATAGATGTTGGTGATGGTGAACGAAAAGAAGGATGCCCGGGCCAGCGATGTCACGGCTCTGATATTACAGGAATGAAATCGAAGGATTGCCGGTCCAGTGAAAGGTTTGCAGTCACAGTCCGTAAAAAAGAAAGGCCGGTCGTCTAAGAACCTCGAATCCTATAATCTGCCAAAGTCACGCTGATGGTTGACACTAGAATATAGGCCCGTGGGCACAAATGAATGACGCCGGTTGATGATGAATCAAAAGTCGAAGTGAAGTGAAGTGAAGTGAAGGTTGAGGTTGAACCTTGAGGCGGGTCCTGTTCCCGCTCCCTAACAGCGCCAAGCAATGCTACTAGTGGACGGTCCCGCAGCGCTACATACATCAAATGCCCGTTACGGTCCTGGCATGCGAGTGGTACGTACCTGGAATTTCACATCTAGACGTTCAGTATCTGCGGCAGCGTGATCCGACTCAACAAGGTTGAACATATGATTACAAGTTATATCGTGACAAGTTCTGTTGGCTTATCAAAAACGCAAGTTCGATGGAAACGGCGGCGGCCAGGCCATGTAACAGATTTGTAAAATACGTACACATACATGAAGTTTCTCGAACAAGCGCATGGACCGCCTCCACCTAAGCGAACTGTTAAGCACAGTGCGCAATTGAGCAGTCCGTTCAGTTCACCTGCACCCCGAGTCCGTCCCTTCTTGATGCTTTCAGTTCGAGACTCGAGACTTAAACCAATTCATTTCGTCATGTGCGGTCCCCAAGCCAAACAACCAGAGCCCCAAAGCGTCGAAACTTATTGCTAACAACATACACCTCCAACTGGAAATTTGACCTTCATCGGTGGCTTCACGATTTTTGCTTTCATATTTTTGTGTGGCTCCCATTAATCTCTCCTCATCCCATCTTCAAGTTGTGCGCATGGTTGACACGAGGCACAAAGTTCGATGCACGTCACGGGCTGGCATCGATCCAGACTACAGATATCAAACCTGGGCTTGCTGGCTGTCCTGTTCTAGACCTTGGTGTTGATTCGGTATCAGCCGTTTTGTGCTGTCATTTTTTGGATATTGCGGGGTGTGGTCTTCGGCAGCCCAACGGCCCTTCACCATTCCGAGCTCTTTGGACATCGCTGTTGAATAATGCCGACCTATATGGATATTGATATTGTCGACATTTGGCGACGATGACACTGGACTTCCCCGTCATCTTTCTGCTTCCCACCAATCTCGGGGCGGACGAGCTCCACGAGTTGGAGGAACAAATACCAACCCTCACATATGACATCAATGAGGCCGAAGTCATCCTGGGAAACGTGCACCGGAAACAACGGGTCTTATTCGAGCTTAGGAAACACAAACTTGTAACAGAAGAGATATCGACAACGGAGACAGACGAACCTACGTCTCCCAGCCCGAAGCGAAGGAGGCTCCAGACACCGGGTTCCGTTATCACAGAAGACTCTGACACTGCCTCAGATGGCGACTTTCATCCTCTCTTAACCCAGTCAACTCAGTCGACTCTTAAAGCAGCCCCCACAACTGTCAAGGTGGTCAAGCTCGCCTGGTTTACCGAGTCTCTCAAAGCCGGGACAGTCCTCCCCATAGAAGACTTTACCTTATACAGAGGCCGGAAACAGCAGAGCAAACCCGCCAAGCCGCAGCAAGCATCACCAGCAAAGGCCGCGAATATCATCAAACGAGTCCTAGCAGACCCGAAGCCTTCTTCCCATGGCTCACGGCCTGGATCTTCTCATAGCACTACCAGCCACGGTCGACGCGATCACTTCATCACTAAGGCCCCGGCATTGCTTCATATGACCACCTCAGAACATGAAGTAGAGCTGCCCCCCATTCCTGCCTACCTGCACACCACCTATGCATGCCAGCGTCCTGCACCCACGCATCCACCCAACGAACCCTTCATCGAAGAGCTCATGAAAATCAGAACAGCCAGGACGCTGCTCGGTGACAAGATTGGAGTGCGCGCTTATTCCAGCGCCATAGCCGCTCTAATCTCCTACTCCTACCCTCTCCAGAGCGCCTTCGAAGTAGCGAGACTACCAGGCTGCGGCCTCAAGATCGCCCAGCTGTACCAAGAGTTCCGAGAACAAGGCGAGCTACAAGAGGCCAAGGAAGATGAGTCCGACCCCCGGCTGGCCGTCCTCAAGCTCTTCCACGAGATCTGGGGCGTCGCCGAGACCACTGCCCGCGAGTTCTACAACAAAGGCTGGCGCGACCTTGACGATATTATTGAATACGGTTGGGACACCCTGACGCGCGTCCAACAGATCGGCGTCAAGTACTACGATGAGTTCCAGCAGAAGATACCTCGGGCCGAGGTCGAGTCTATCTCCAACATAATCCTCGAGCATGCCAACAAGATCCACCCGGGATTTCAAATGGTCATCGTAGGCGGGTACCGCCGCGGCAAGCTGGCGAGCGGCGACGTGGACGTTGTCCTGAGTCACCCGGACAAGGCCGCAACCAGGGGTTTTGTTGAGCAGATCGTAGTGGCACTGGAACAGTCAAACTACATCACGCACACGCTGATCCTGAGCACGGCCAACACCGAGCGCGGGCAGGAGCCTGTGGCCTGGAAGGGAAACGAGAAGAAGAGCGGGACGGGGTTTGACACGCTGGATAAGGCGCTCGTAGTGTGGCAGGATCCGCACTGGACGACGGGCGAGAAAAAGAATCCGAATCCGCACAGGAGGGTAGATATCATCATCAGTCCGTGGAAGACGGCCGGATGTGCGGTGTTGGGTTGGACGAGCGGGACGACTTTTCAGAGGGATCTGAGGAGGTATTGTAAGAAAGAAAGGTCGCTCAAGTTTGATAGCAGTGGGATCCGGAGTAGGGCTGATGGGACTTGGGTCGATTTTGAGAGCGGGCCGAACGGTGAGCCGGCGCCGGATATGCTCACGGCGGAGCGACGGGTGTTTGAAGGGTTGGGACTGGAGTGGCGGCCGCCAGAGGAGAGGTGTACTGGTTGATCGAAATTGGGGAAATTAGAGCTGTTGATACTGTATACCAAGCCTTCAACCTGGTTACATAATGCTATAACTCAAGCAAAGGGGTCTTCTTTTGTAGGGCTGAAATGATGCAATCCCTCTGACAGATATCGCTGTCTGGAATGGTTGGCTGCGAGTTGCCTTTCAGCGCTGTGCCGTACCCGGAGATCTGGATGGTCTGCTGGGATCGCCCGCTTCCCGCTCAGTGTTCAGGGGAAATGGAGTTAGGGGAGGTTGCGGGTAACGGTTATGCAAGCCATGAAACTGTCTTCAGATGCATCGTATGTCAGACATGTTGCCTTCAACTGTTTGGTTGATCTCACAACTGAAGTATCGGGGGAGGTATGAGGCCATAATTGACAAGACACATTGACACAGGCATGCATGATCGGCGATGAGAAGAGTGTACGATTTTGAAGAATGGAATAATATCCTCGTAAGCGTCGGACAAGGAAACATGCCACAACAGTCGGTCGGTCGGTCGGTCGGTCGGGGCAACAAACCTTCCATTTAACGGAATAGGTGCACAAATCGTACCGTGTCCTTTATGCCACCGGGGTGATGCAGAGTCCGAGGTCACACATGATTGGTCAATGGCTAGCGTCGGCCGTTGGAAGCAGCTGGAAACTCCACAGATGACCTCTTCTTGATGATGGCTCATCATAGAATACGGTTTGACTAATCATGTTCGGTTGCTACGAGTGAACATCTAAGAGAAAAGAGGGTTGCAAATAGACTGAGAGAAACTATTTAAATATTCAGGAGATATACGTGAGTGAGTGATCTTTCTCTCCTTCCATCCTTTCGTAGAGCATCATTTTGATTGACTTGTCAATCAAACACCACTTGCCTTTGCTTACTCTCTTTTCCATCAGCTTCACAACTTTGACGAACCAACTACATCACACCAACAAGCAAAATGGCCATCACCTTGACTCTCCCTGACGAGTACGGGTAAGTGAACGTCACCATATTCTTCAAATTACTTCCCTGATAATCTCGTACTAACACATTCTCTACCAGCTACGTCCTCTTAGCCACCGTCTCCACCTTCTTCGCCAACAGCTTTCACTCCATCAACACTGGCATGCAGCGCAAGGCCGCGGGCGTCAAGTATCCCGCCGCCTACGCCCCCCAGGAGGTAGCCGAGAAGGATCCCAAGGCTTTTGCCTTTAACTGCGGTATGTCCTCTTTACATCTCTCCCCTTCCTTTTCCTTTCCTTTAAACCTAGGTACCCTTGTCAATGAAAGCTAACATTCAAATCCCCCCCATCACAAAAGCCCAACGCGCCCACGCCAACTTCACCGAAAACCTTACCCCCGCCATTGGCTCCATGCTCATTGCGGGACTTAAGTACCCCGTGCTCGCCGGCGTCCTGGGCGGCCTGTGGAGCTTGACCAGGGTATTATACACCATTGGCTACACCAAGAAAGGACCGCAGGGCCGCACCAAGTTCGGCATCGCCAGCTCGTTGAGCTTGTTGGCGCTCAAGTTGATGGCGGCGTATACGGCTGTGCAACTTGCTTTCCATTAATCGGAGCTAGAGGGTTAGGGGTGTGCGAGGTGGTAAGAAAGGAAAACTGAGTGGCTTGAAGTAGATAAAATGGCAAAATAGATAAAAGTGAAATCATCAAATGGCCAGGAAATTGCAACAGTAGTCAGCTATGTTGTGAACCATAATCAACCACTCAATTCACCATTATAAGTGTCTGTGCGTCTCATTTGAAGGGTGTAATCTCTTATTAACAGAGCCATTATCGACCTCGGTCTTCATCAAGTGCTTCGTCAATGGAAGTGCATAACCGTAAAATAGGTAGTGTGCCGTCACCCCAAATGGACACCATTGCTCGTCTCATCTAGTTTCGTCATGTTGATCACCATCCTTCACTGTCGTTGCCACAAACTCAAGGCATCTCACTAACATTTCGCCTCTCAGGCATCTCATGAACAACATGGTGTGGCGGAAGCTCATAAGCCTGCTGATGCTGGTATCCAGCCGCATCGTACCCACGACCATCAGAGTATGGCGCCTCGCCGCCGCCAGCAGGATAAGGTTCGTAACCCCCCGGCTGCCATTTGATTTCCTGTACTTGTTGTGGTTGTGGTTCTGGTTGTTGTCCCTGCGGCGATTGTGGCTGCTGTTGTTGCTGCTGCTGCTGCTGTTGAACTTGCTGCTCCTCGTTCTCCAATAGGCCCTTTTTCTTGGTACGCCTTCGAGCGAGGAAATAGCCCAGTGCAATTCCTGCGGCAATGGCTGCGACACCGCCTACTACGCCGCCGGCGATGGCTCCTGCATTGCTGCTACTCTTGCTCCCAGTGTTGCTAGAGGGGTCTTTCGAGCCAGAGGGAGATGGTGAGGAGGAGTTGGTGGGAGTCGAGGGCGAGGAGGCGTCGCTGTTGTCGGTGGCTTTGAAGTTTTGGTTCGCGAAGACGGACTCTAGTTGGCTGTTGGTGAAGCCGGACTCGGGTTTTCTGCCTCTGTTTTCGATGCAACGTGGGACTGGTTAGTGATTGTTCTAATGTGTTTGGGTGTTGGTCTTTTTTTGAAGGGAGTTGGAAGTTACTTACTTATCGTTATAGTATGACTGAATCGCAGACGCAGGCGAGTATGAGGTTCGGTTCGCTTTGTAAGTGTCTGTGATCTTTAAAGTAGCAAGATCAAACACCGCGATGCCTTGTGGGAATGGATCAGTAGTCGTGAAAACGCCCTTATACAATGTTATGGGCCCTTCTCTCGTAGTGTCGACGCCTCCGATTGTTATAACTTGACCACCGCCGACCGCGTTGCAGCTGAGGGAGTGTCTGGGATTCCGCGCTGTGTAGGGCGCTTTGGTCCAGTAAAACCCAGGCAGTGTGAGCACGTAGGCATCGTCGAAGGGTACGGATGCGCTGCCCAAATGACCACCCCAGCCGGCATAGATGAGGATCTCGTAGGTCTGGTTGTCCGATGCCACTCCTGCCATACAGTATTCCTGCCTTGGTGCGGGGGGAGTGCCTGATGTGCTTTGTTCGAACCAAGCTCTGCTGTCAATGTCGAAGATGCGTGCTGTGTCCAAGGAAACGCGCTTCTCGTCGTCGTTGTCTGCCTTCAATTTCGCGATGAGACCTCCCACGGAAACGAGGATGCCCTTTTTGCCAAAGTTGGGAACGTAAAGCATGCTTCCAAATTGCTCCGACCCCTGTGTGGAAGCAAGGTTAACGGTTTCGTTGGTGACCTTCTTCGACACAAAGTCGTACGTAAGAAGGCTGCTCATCGGTGCCTCGGTGAGATCTGACGCATTGGTACCGAACCTCTCATAGCCTGTTGATCGAGGTCAGCTTCACAGATCTCCTACAAAGAAGTCTCCAAGACCGCTGAGAGTTAGCTTGCGTACCTCCGAGGAAGTAACCAAAACCATTGCCACTGGCTGTTCTGCCTTTGTACGGTCTCGGCTGTTCCGTAAACGTCTTGTCTGCAGTGTTGTTCAGGTTTTGCCAGGTTCCGCCTCCTGTGCCATCCGGCTTGAATGACCATAGGCCTTGAGGCTGATCGGCGTTATCTCCGAAATTAGACTTGGTGCCGGCGAATCCCGTGTATAAGACACCATCCGTCTCGTCTACCCAAAGCCCTCCGCCAGCGAGGTTGGCGGCACCGGACGGTTTGGATGTTGAGTCGAACCGAACTGAATCACTTGTCCAGTCCTGGGACAAATCGATAGAAAGCAGGGAGTTCGCTACGGAAGAGTTAGGATATACCATGATTTCAACAGTTAGTGCGTGGAGAGTCTTACAGTATTGAAAGGTGATGTCAGTGCCGCTGTAGTACGAGATCTCACCACCGTCAATGTACACGCGCCCGTTTAAAACCGCGGCTTTGGTTCGATTAGCCAGATGGTCATGATGCACTGAGAAAGAAAAAATGACGGCAATGCTCACACGATTGATAGCCTCTGCGCAGAAATGTCGAGGGACTGATAGCACCGTTAACCTGTCGTGGAAGGACGATTGATTCATCTGCCTTGGGTAGGGTGGTAGTGCTAGCCGCCTGGCAAATCCACGGCTGTATTACACAGCACAAAAGGGGAGCCGACCTCCTGACCATGATGACTGATTTCGATAGGCAACAAGAGAGAGAAGAGAAGAATGGGAGAGGAGGAAGAAATTTCTGAGCAATATGCTACGCGTGTCAGCTTTCTGCCCACGAAAAGGACTAGCTCCCCTGAAGCGCCATTGAGACATGGTGGTAGGTGATGATCCTATAGGATCCGACTGTAATTATAAACGAGGTCGGGAGAGGTTAGCCACGGTAATATCACCGTGGACTGTCAATGGTGCCTGTTGACTGCTACCTGGCGGCTGCTCGGCCCCTTTCGTATCTTAGCGTACCCAAGGGTTGCATCAAGTCAGCACTACAGTAGGAGATAAGGCTGATCCCTACTCGTCGAGTAACAAGTGAAAGTGAGCCTGCTTTCAACAGAGAGGGTGATCACCGGAGAGTGGGCGTTTGTGCCATGCAGCACAGCCGCGAGTTTACCATCTGCTGGCTTGACTGACTGAGCCAGCGAGCGAGCGAGTGTTTAACTGGGTTCACCCGCGACAGACGGATTCTTCAGGATAACCCAACGGTAACACAAAAGAGTATTTTGGTCATGCTCGACACAGTGGGCTGAAACAGGATGGGGCGAGCAGGGTACGGTTCTTGAAGAACACCAAATGCTGGCATGGTGGTAGGATCGACACAAGACCGAGCATTAGGACAGAGATGCGAGCAGGCTAATCAGAGCTAGCCAAGACTCAACGGCCAGCCGGCCGCAGGTCGGAATCATGGCTGGAGCCCAAGGGTAACGGAATCAAAGCTTGACGTCTCCCGAGGCGTCGATGGTGAGGGCAAGCATACGATGCTGAGTAGGTTTCAATTTCCATGTCGAGATGTCACGATTCGCCAATGATGTTTTTCATTCATGATCCAACGCCCGGGAACATCACTGCACCGGGAAAACACTTGGTACATCCGACAATTTCGTGCTGGCGGAACAAAGGTTGTAACTTGCAGCTTGGAGATGCGGTTAGTACCACGGCGGCCGCGGTGGCACGGTGAGGTTGAGTGGTGATTGGCGCCAGCTCGTCGGCTACCTACCAGCTGGCAAGCAGCCTCCCGTCGTCTGTCAGTAGAGCTGCCCCCTGCCTTTCGATGGAGGGGAACGAGGTACCTGTCCTTTTCAACAACTGGAGGGGAGCAAATGACAACAGAGCCGCAATTCAGAAATTGATATCGCCTGTTGCAGTCGGCTTCCATTGCAGTAGAAGCGATTGGGATATTTCTGAACATATTTATCCCATCACCTTGTCGCGAACGACTTGACCGATTGCAGAAGAGCAGCGCGTCGTCAACTCTGTGATCTTGAGCAGGGCTTCCTGGACGGCAGTCAACACTTTAAAGTGGACCTTGAATTTTCAGGAGCGTCGAAAAAGAGGTTCTTCAGTTGTTGCATCTTCCTGGCGACACACACCACAACTGGGATCCCGTCCGTACCTTATTGCCTCCCCCCGCGGTATGTACTCGCACGGAGCCCGCTTTTCCCCCTAGCTTCCACATCTAGCCTCAGGTCCCGCCTGCCGCAAGACAGCTGCTGTGGACTGTGTGGTGGACGGTGGATGTCTCGAGTGTCTCGTGCGTTCCAGGTCTCGGAGCTAATGACACCTTGCACGTAGCCGCCCGACGACGTTGCCCGTTGCCCGCCGCCCGCCCCGTACCTATCTCTGGAGCTACCACCGCGTAGACGACGGATCATCCACATTAATTCCCTTAATCTTCTAATCCAACAAACCACCGACACCACCATCACCCCTCTCCAGCTGTTCCTCTCTATCCCCGACTGCGACCATCGACCGAGGACGCCGCCGTCGACATCAACATGGATTACGAAGCCCTCAAGGAGCAATGGGGCGAGGTCGAGGACCGTGATGGCGTTCGTCTGAGCTGGAATGTCTTCCCCAGCACCCGCATGGTCAGTTCCGCTCTTTCGCATACTTGCTACTTCGCGTAACCCCTTTATCGCTGACCCTTTCTCCAGGAAGCTTCCAGACTCGTCGTCCCCATCGGCGCCCTTTATACCCCTCTCAAGGAGAAGCCCGACACGCCTCTGCTGCAGTTCGACCCCGTCAGTTGCAAGCAGCCCTGCCGCTCCGTGTTAAACCCCTACTGGTGAGCCATCTTCGTCGCCCCGACTTGTCGCGCCCATTGCTGATACCCTCGCCCAGTCAAGTCGATGTGCGCGCCCGCCTGTGGATCTGCCCCTTCTGTCTCTCGAGGAATCCTCTCCCGCCACACTACAAGGACATTACCGCAAATGCGATTCCACCCGAGCTGCACCCTTCCAACACTACCATCGAGTACAGGCTCTCGCGGCCCGCCCCCGCCCCTCCGATCTTCCTCTATGTCGTCGATACGTGCCAGGAGGAGGACAGCTTGGCTGCTCTCAAGGAGTCGCTCATCATGAGCTTGAGCCTGTTGCCCGAGCACGCCCTTGTCGGCCTGATTACATACGGCACCATGGCTCAGGTCCACGAGATTGGCTACACCGAGTGCCCTAAATCATATGTTTTCCGCGGTAACAAGGAGTACGCGGCCAAGCAGGTCCAGGAGATGCTTGGGCTCGTACAACCTGCTATGCGTCCGGGCATGCCTATGCAACAGCCTGGCAGGCCCTTCCCGGCCGGCCCTGCCTCAAGATTCTTGCTTCCGGTCTCTCAGGCCGAGTTCCAGTTGACCAAGGCCATTGAGCAGCTTCAGAAGGATCCCTGGCCTGTTGCCGGTAACCTCAGAGCCTTGCGCTGCACCGGTGTTGCGCTGTCCGTAGCTGTTGGCCTGCTCGAAACGTCGTTCCAGAATGCCGGTGGTCGCATTATGCTCTTTGCTGGTGGTCCGGCCACTGAGGGACCTGGCATGGTTGTTGGTCCCGAGCTGAGGGAGCCCATCCGCTCCCATCACGATATCGACCGCGACAACATCAAGTATTACAAGAAGGCACTCAAGGTACGTTTATCTTCAGCTTGTGGTGCAGGAAACAGTCTGTGTCATGCTAACATTCGCTATAGTTCTACGACAACCTCGCTAAGCGAACTGCACATAACGGCCACACTATTGACATTTTTGCCGGCTGTCTTGATCAAGTTGGTCTGCTTGAAATGAAGGGTCTATGCAACTCGACGGGTGGCCACATGATTCTGACGGACAGCTTCACCTCATCCATGTTCAAGCAGTCATTCGTCCGCATTTTCGAAAAGGACGCGGATGACAATCTGCTGATGGGCTTCAATGCGGTTTTGGAAGTACTGACAACGAAGGAACTCAAGGTTACTGGGTTGATTGGTCATGCCGTCTCTCTCAACAAAAAATCGACGTCTGTCGGCGAAACCGAGTGCGGCATAGGTAACACTTGCACGTGGAAGATGTGTGGTATCGACCCCAACTCCAGCTACGGTATCTACTTCGAGATTGCCAACCAAGGCGGCCCATCCCAGAACATGCAGAGTCCTCAAAAGGGAATGATGCAGTTCTTGACTTATTACCAGCACTCGTCTGGCCACTTCCACCTTCGGGTGACCACCATTGCCCGAAACCTCAGCGGCCCTGCCGGAGACCCGGCCATCGCGCAGTCATTCGACCAGGAGGCAGCAGCCGTGCTCATGTCGCGTATCGCTGTTTTCAAGGCGGAGGTTGACGATGGGCCTGATGTGCTCCGGTGGGTCGACCGCATGCTCATCAGGCTCTGCGCCAGATTTGCCGATTACCGCAAGGACGACCCGTCATCGTTCCGCTTGGAAAAGAACTTCACGCTATACCCACAGTTCATGTTCCACTTGCGTAGGAGTCAGTTCTTGCAAGTCTTTAACAACTCTCCCGATGAGACCGCATTCTATCGGCACGTTCTCAATCATGAGGATGTTAGTAACTCGCTCATCATGATTCAACCAACGCTCGACTCCTACACCTTCGACCAAGAAGGCGGTGTCCCCGTTCTGCTCGACTCTACCTCCATTCAGCCTACCCACATCCTTCTGCTCGATACCTTCTTCCACATTTTGATCTTCCATGGTGAGACGATCGCAGAATGGAGAAAGGCCGGCTACCAAGACCAAGAGGGATACGAGAACTTTGCTGCGCTTTTGGAGCAGCCCAAGGAAGATGCAAGGGTAAGTTGTCTCCTGTTCATCTCTGGTCGAATTTTGTTGGGGCTTTTTTCTGACTGTGTACAGGATCTCATTACCGACCGTTTCCCTCTCCCTCGTTTCATTGTTTGCGACCAGGGCGGTTCCCAAGCTCGTTTCCTGCTTTCCAAGCTTAACCCTTCCACTACCCATACATCAGGTGCTGGCGCCTATGGCGGTGTTGGAGCTCAGAGCGCCCAGACTATCTTCACCGACGATGTTTCTCTCCAGACCTTCATGGAGCATCTCATGAAGCTTGCCGTGAGCGGAACCAACTAAATGTGAGGGCAATGGACAGGCCGAGTGAGAGGCTGGAAGTAAGTGATGAAGTTAAATGCAAGCCCGGGAAGCGGTGGACGACTTTGTTGGAATTGTCTAGCGTTAGTTTTATGTGGGCTTATACGAGCACACAAATAGATCACATCATTAATATGAATCCAGTGTGCTGTTTTTGATGGTCTCCAGGTCCATTTGGAGTTTTGCCACTGATGGGATGTCGTTGTGGTTCTCTGGGCGGCAGACTGGAGGCCTTGGCCTTCTGTCCTCATCAGACTCAGGGGGTTTGTTTTCCCTAGTTTGGCAGGTGTTGGCAGGCGAACGTAGCGGTTGCAGCACAGCGCTAAGTAACCGACCATGAACCGGGCTAGATTGAGTTGTGGCTGAAAGCGGTTATTTTGTGGCTGGTGCCCCGCCAAAAGCACCAGCCACATACTGCCAAAATCTTAGGGCAGGCAGGTCCAGATCCCACAATTGGGATTTTTTCGATTTCGTTGTTGTCTTGGATCCTCGGTACGGTCTCCTCCTTCCCACGAACACCATCCAAGTGCATCTTGACAATCACCAGCCGTCACCATGCGTAAGTTATGGCCCTACTATTTGCCTGTCATCGACCGAGTACTCAAAACTGACAATATGCCCAATTTGCAGCTCCCAAGTTTGATCCTAATGAGGTGAAGGTTATGTAAGAACACACCCGACGATCCGTCGCTCGAGGCGACTCGATGCGACACGATACGCGCGACGAATACGAATAATAGACATACTGACGGGCGGTTTCTGTGTGCAGCACCCTCCGGGCTACCGGTGGTGAGGTTGGTGCCTCGTCGGCTCTTGCCCCCAAGATCGGTCCTCTTGGTCTCTCCCCCAAGAAGGTCGGCGAAGATATCGCCAAGGCTACTGGTGACTGGGTACGAAATTCTGGCTCTCTATCCGACTTTATATGAACGACGCCATGAGCGAAACGAAGGGGGAATACAGTTCTGACAAAGCGATTTTCAACGAATACAGAAGGGTCTCCGCGTGACCGTCAAGCTCACCATCCAGAACCGTCAGGCGGCCGTCTCCGTCGTCCCTACCGCCTCCGCGCTCGTCATCCGTGCGCTCAAGGAGCCCCCCAGGGACCGCAAGAAGGAGAAGAACATCAAGCACAACAAGTCTGTTTCGTTTGATGAGATCGTCGAGATCGCCCGCACCATGCGCTTCAAGTCCTTCTCCAAGGAGCTTAAGGGCACCGTCCTCGAGGTCCTCGGTACCGCTTTCTCCGTCGGCTGCCAGGTTGACGGCAAGAGCCCCAAGGCCGTCCAGGAGGCTATCCACGCCGGCGAGATCGATGGTACGTTGCTCGCCCATTGCGCTTCATAAGCTGCTCTGATGGGCGCGTCTTGCGCTTGTGTCCCTTGGCTTCGGTCTTGAGCGCCCCTGCTGACTTGTTACAGTTCCCGAGGAGTAAATGTCGGCCAAAAAAGGTCAAATTGGGATTCTTGGCATGTGTTTAGGAGTTCAGGGCTTGCTTTACGATCAGGCCTGCCAAACGACGGCAAATCAAAGATCACCAAAGACGATTTGAAGGCCGAGCCGTCGTGTTCCTCGCCCCTATGATGTGTGCACTTGTATACAGCCGTCCATTACGACACTTGGGCTTGGTATCTAGGTTTGCGAGACACTCGAGGAATAAGCGCAGCGCCGAACCCCTACTCATTGCCTCCATCCGTTCCCCCCTTTGATATCATGTGTGATGTGTTTCCGCCCCCTCAACTGACTACGCAGTCCCTGAAGTTCACCCGAGTTTGACCTCTTCTCTATGGTCACTCCCGGTTTTTCTTTTTTCAATTCAGGAAGATTAAAGGTCCTATTACTCACCACGGGTTCCGTTGGCTATTGCTGTGGAAGATCGAGGTCCATCATTTAGGTCTACATCTCCCCTCTCGCCCTTGTGTGTCGCCTTGTCGATCGATTCACTCCGCCCACGATGACTGCTTCAGCAAACGATTATGTCGAAACCGAGATAGCAAAATACAAGATTGTTTCAGAGAATCACGGTCCCAATGTATCTTGCTGTGACATTGAGATACGATCTTGCTGCGGTGGGAATGACAGTCGTACATTTATGATGATGGACTGGGTTGATGTTATGACCTCTGTTCAACATCAAGACTACCACAGGATGTGCTCGTCTTCGCGAGTTTCGGAACCATATCAGGGGATAGACAGCCATAATCCATCCCCGTCTTCATGCCGTCCCGTTGGACCGCTGTGCACTCTAAGTCGGTTCTGTCGTCGATAAAGCGGCTCTCACCCCAACTGAACTTTGTTTCATGTCTCTCTTGTCCAGCATCTATTGACCATGGCATGGCATCAACACTCTCAGGAGCTCTCTGTCGTCCTTTGAGCACCCTTTTCACTCACTACTCGTAGTCTCCTTCTTACAAATCACCCCCGTTTGATAAATACGGAACAAGAAGTGAGGAAGTGTTGATCTAGAAGCCAACAATTCCACTGACAGTTAGGAGTAGGTATGTTGAAGTTGAGTATTCGAATGCTTACACCATCGCACGCCCATGCAACTGTTTGCCGGCACTTCAACATCACTTTTTCATGAACACTACTCTCTTTTCGCTTACCACGACTTGTTTAATTCGATCCAAGGTTTACCCGGCCATTTCAGCTCAAGTGATTCCACTGGTCAGACATCCATTAATCGGTTTGTCAATACCATTATCAAACGCACTTATCAGCTCAGACTTGTCCAACTGGGCTCAGCTCAGTTCTTTCCTTTTTCCTGCAAAATTAATTCTTATAAGAAGTTTTCCCCTCCATGCTGACCGCACCGTCAAACAACCACTTTCTTGATATCAAATTAGTTTTTGGTGGTGTCTACACCAATTCAAAAAGTTGCAGACGCCGGCACCTAAAAAGTACCCATGTACATACGGGTTGATGAATGTGCATACGGCAAGGCGGGGGGGAGGGGGGGGTGGGGGGGGGGGGGGGGGGGGGGGCGCTATGCAATGCGAGCATATCTTGAGTAAGCGATGTGATGCCATGTAGTTTAGAGTTGCGAACGCGAGTTAGCTGCGCTCATCCGTTGATTTGCTGCAGACTATCTAGGACACCGGCCAGGGAAGGTTTGGGTAGGTATGTAATACGATGTGGAAGAGGCTCTCAAGAGTTAAAGATAGCTGTGGTTTTTGTTGTTGTTGGACACTCGTGATTTGTACGCTAGTTGCTTGGTTAATCGAAAGGAAGGAGGGAGGGATGATAGAAAGACGGGTAGTAAAGGTGATAATTGGAATTTGTGAGTGACTGGTGTCATTCAAACTTTGATGGATAGAGGATAGAGGCAGAGAGATAGGTGAGGGTAGTAGTGAATGCATAACAGCGTGTGTTAACAACGGCAATTCTCGTCCAAAAGACAAGTACTGAGAGACTATCTTATGGATGTCATCATCACACAACTTTCATGAAGGCCTTCTTTTGGGCTCTGAAAATATCATCCGTATAAGTAGGTAGGTAGCCAAAGTTCTGTCTACGCCTTTTTTTTTTTTTTTTTTTTTCCTTCCTTTGCTGACTCAGAGGAATAGAATCTCTTGGTCTGTTTCATCCACGCTTCCTCTTTCGTACACTGTCTATGAACAAGTCGTTTCGGTCTTCGTCAATATGAATCTCTTATAATGTGGGTCGATATATTTCGTTTTGGATCATTCTCTTTTATACCCCACCGCTGGTAAGAACATATAATCCAGATTCTCGGAATTTTGTGACATTAATGGCGACGACAGAGTAAGTGGCTTGACCGTCCACTTGTCCTAATGTTTTCGATTGCCCGCTTTGCGGCTGTGTGATACCTACCTGTGAGAATCCGGATCACACATTGTATGTGTGGATACACATATGTGTGCGCAGCAGCTTATTTCCATCTATGGGTAGTACATACTCGGTAGCGATGTATGTCGGCAGGTGAGTGCTGACATCGCTGTGCTATGCAGGTAAGATCAAGTTGGCGTGCCCTATTTACAACTGCTTGGTGCTTGTTACTTTGGTACTGGTTACAGTACGAAGTTTTTGATGGTACAGCATTGTGAGTGGCCTCAAAGGTGTGCGGCACGTAATAGCTTCGGTGGTCCGCCCTATATAACGAAACGTTCCTGAGAGGTGAGGCGGGAAGAAGTACCCAAGCTTACCATGTTCCAAACAGGGAAAAGGAAACTCGGACAAGAGAAGCGAAGTACATCAAGAGCCCTGGACTGTCCACACGTGTTAAACATTTTCAAACGGCCAGCTCATCAGGCAACTTCGGATGAATCGTGGTGAAAGCGGCGATTGATCGCCCGGAACCCGTTCAGCTGGTTCAGGGAAGTGCTCGTGAATTGAAAGTACCTGTCGATGTCAGCGATCCACCCGATTGAAGAGGTGATATGGCAGGTGGATTAGTATCTTGTCTAGATAAAATGGCGGCCGCAACGGGATACTTGCGAAGTTACCTCATGTTACAAGCTTGTCCGCCTGTGTAAAGATCCGACTTGGCTCTTCATCTGCGCCTCGTGTATATACTACGTGTGTGACATGTCGGTTGCGCGTCCGCTGAATAGGACCCTGGGCTCTTGGCCACCGTTGGCTGGCTGCAGCCCAGGACACCGCCGGGTCCGGGTTATGTGACCGGACCACCCTTTCTTGCCAAACCCACCAAGATCTGACCAGAAAGGTGGGGGAGGAGGGGTATCATATGGCCAGAGACAGCTAAGCTCGCCTTTTTGGTTGTTTGAACAGGATGATGTTTCTTTCGCGGCTGCTTATTCCCAAGGCATCTCATCGGAAGAAGCAGCGAAGCAGAAGCAAGTTTGGGTGCGGCGAAAGCAACTCAACTGACAATGGCGGTAATGGGAATGGGCAAGCATGACTCCCTCCAAGTCATCCGATAATGGGCAATGAAAAAGAGAAACGAATGTGATAAGACGTGCTGCACCATCTCGACCATGTTGACTTTTGTTCCCATGGCTCCATCCATTCAGCATATTCATTCAGGGCGCCATAGGACGCCAAGGGGTAAGCTCATTTACAGACTGCCGAGGTGCCGAGAAAGATCTAGCGTTGTGATGGAAGTGGTGGGCTAGCCTGTCCAATGTCGATGACGGGGAGAAGGAAGAAGATGCAGGTTTCTGGGAGGATGTGAGAGCTTTGCCCGCTGCTTCGATCCTAATCTACTCCCCTGTTCCCGGTCAGCATTGTGCTGATGACAATCAGAGGCAGGAGGGGTTGGGTAGCTTTGGAGGGGAGAGAGAAAGGACCCTTTTGGTCTCATCAAGGACCGATGTTCACGGCTTCACGCCCGTAGGGTTAATTGGGATTGCTTCTGCTCATGTCGTGCTAGTTGTACGAGAGCAGGAGAGATAGGTACATGCTTCTTCTTGTAGTTGCTCTGGGTAGTGGGCGCAGTTGCTGGGCGGGCGAGGCCACCGATGGAGAGGCAAATCAGATGGAGTGACAAGATGCAGAGTGCAACCCTGTTTCCCACCCCATGCTGCCTGTTGGAAGGCTGCATACGTCTCGCATGGCGCTCTATTGGTGACGGCTTTCCCGTTGCTGATGCTGAAATGATTGATGGTGGCAGTACAGGATGTGGTGCTTCGACTCTGTCCGCGTGTACATAGGTATGTAGTGATGTCTGTGTGCCTTGTGCATTTATCGTCCTTGGTTATCTGTCAAGAATCGCGACCATTTACTTGCAGGACACCCGGCGATCTTACTGTAGTATTTGAGCTCGACAGTACCTACCTCTAGAGGTAGTGTTGAGAGGAATATGGGCGTACATAACAGGTAGGTACCTACGCTCGGAGTGCTATGAATTGACATGTCGTAGTTACTGTTCCTGACCCGCTAATTACCTAGCGCCCCCCACGCCCTCTAGTCGCAGGTTCGTTCCCACGCAGGGGCACTGGAGCACGCCAAAACGGGGGGCTAAGTGGAAAGCGACAGGGGTGCAACAACAGGGCCCCCGGGCTGATACCGTCCCAGGCGAGCCAGACAGGAAGGTTCCGTGTGGTTCCGTCGGTAGGCCGCAGGTGCGAATGTGCACCGCCTGCCGCCCCCGGTGTCTTTCGGTGCCCCTGCCTCTTGGTCGCTCTTGGTGCCTTTTGTTTCGCCTGCTTGACCTGGATCGAATTTCAGTTGGCTCTTGCCGCGTATAAGGTAGGGCAGACACGGCAGGCACATGGACACTGGGCTTACCATAGTATGTAGTCCTTCCAATCTTCAATTGTGGTGTAGTGTAATGCAGTGGAGTAGGTGGTGTAGGGGAACTCGTCCTTCTTACCAGCTCCGGTCGACATCTCAGCTCCAACTAGAACTCGCACCTTAACTTCTTCTGCTGCAACGAACAAACCTAACCGATCTTCAAGCCGCTTCCTCCTGCAATCGCCTCCACCCGATCCCTTTCCAGTACTCACTTCAAAGCCGCTGTACATTACATTGCAGGAAATTCGCTGTCTAACGGGCCGCAGTCAGTGTCGGCCGCAAGTAACCTGCAGTACAAATCGACACACAGTAAACGCGCGTTAGACATTCGGATTTCGGTCCAGATTGCTCCACCTTCCGGCGCTACTTCTACATTTCGAGTCCGGAGTCCCGCCGAGTTCGAGCCCCGTCCTCGTCGTCTCCATTTATACGTATCTTTGGACGTCGCCGCCGCCGTCAGACCTGATTCACATTTGTTCGCTCCCGCTCGCCGAAGGTCCCCGCACCCGCACCCGTATCCGCACCGCACTCAGACCGTCAATTCGCGTTAAGAACCTCACGCCCTACTCGGCGCTATCTTTGTCTGTATCTCTCGGCCTCTGGCACGAGCGCGCAAGGCGCTGGAACTGACAATCGGCGCTGGTTGATTGGCCAAGATTGCTGGTTATTTGGCCATCGCGGATCATCACAGAATTTTGCTTTAAACCCCCCAAACGTGCGGGGCCGTTCTTGACAGGAGTTTTGACAAGCGAAAAGTTGAGAAGGAAGACAGGACTTGGGGCCAAACGGAACAGGAACTCCCATCTCAGTATCACCACGGGTATCAGATGATAACGGGTCTTGCGCCTGGTCCGACGGATTCGTTGACGTTCGAGTGCTGGATGGCCGCTCGTTAAATCCCCATCACCAACATTATCAGGATGCGTTGACCGGCGAGCAACCAAGTATTCGGCCTGATCCAACTCGACAGGCAAGCTCTTCGCCAGCTCAACTTCTCGTCACTCCTTTCTGATCTCGCGTGTTTTCCATGATTCGATCACCTGCTTAACCCGGAGTTCTATACCCATCCTTGGACTTGTTTTCGTTCTCCATCTTCTTCGATATCGCGCTTGCAAGTTACTTACCAATCCTGATCAGCTTTCGCAAAGGTTTACACGCGTTTGGTCTGGCCATTGTTAGATGATACAATGACACATCTGGTCCAGATGCACCATATGGTGCCGCCATCGTTCAATTATCGCGCCTCCTTTCAAGCACAACATGGGCATGGCCATGGGCCCTCGCACGGACAAGACTACTTCACTTACCATCAGGGCTTTTCGCACTCCCAAGAGGGGCATCAACCAGGCCACCAACCAAGCCACCAACCGCCGTCGAACCTCCATGACCATCATGTCAGCAACTTGAACGTGACACCCCGGTTGTTCCCTTCTCGCAGCACCCAGCCGACCTTGCATCGCATCGCGACCACCTTTCACCGATCCCACGGACCAGACCACAGCGCCGAACACTCACTTCGACGAAAAACTCCGAGAGGAACTATCGATAATGGTTACGATGGCTCACTGACACATCTGGCATCCGGGCCACCTCCCTTGAAGCAGATGGCCCTTCCGGGCCCATCAAGGCTCTTTCCCGGCACTGTCGGTCAGGGGCTTTCTGGCTCGTCTACGTCAAGCAATCTTCAGCATTCCGTACCCGCCGGTTCTTGGCCGTATCCTGCCCCACTGACCTCAGGAAGCCTCGCTTCGGCTACCGAGACACTTTCGCTCAAGTCGGGCTCCGTGACACCGCTGGGCTGGGGAGCTAGTCCATCAAACGTGGGGCAAGGTTTTGGTGCAGCAGATAGTAACCTCCTTGCGCTGCCCATCCCCCAGTTTGGTCATCATACCGTGTCCAATCTGCAACCACTTCTGGGGCCTGGCTATCACACCCAGTCCATGACTCCAGGAGTGTACAGTCCCGCGGCGCTCCCACAACCTGCGGTGCACAGAGAAGGTGTCCATCCTGACTTTCGAAACTCGTTCAATCTAGGGAATCATTACACGCAAACAGGTGCGGTCGTTGACAGCGCTTTCGTTCCGCCGAACTCGGCTATCCAGCAGTGTCTTCCTCAAGTCTATGGGCCGGGTCACGCACACTCGCTCAGGTTGCCATTCTCAGCCTACCCCTTCGATGATGGCTTCTCACGCTATAATCAGGCACATTTCACGCCACATGCCACATATGTCGGCGGTAACAATCAGTATATGAACTCAAAACCAGGCGGGAGCTTTCAACAAGGCATTGGGGAGCCCTCGTCGCCAGTTCACTTCAAAGATCGGGCATTACATTTAGCCCACAAGACATATAACGATCTAGTCCTGTATTTGAATCACCTACATCGTTGTGAAGCGACTAAGCCTGGAAGTGGGCACCGGATTGCCTATCCAAGACCGCCCAGGACACTTACTTTTTCTATTCCCCAATTCTCCGCCTCTTCCACGCGTCCAGGGGCAACCGATGGCCACCCACAGCACTCGAACCAAAATGACGCTACCTCGCGGCCTCTGAGTTATACGTCCGGCCACTCTAATCTTCACTCACTTTATCTTGAGAACGTCAACAGCCATCTAAAGCTTTGCTCACAAGGGCACTATTATCAGGCCAAGCTGCCTAAGCGTTCATTTGAGCTCAACTCGCCCATTGGTGCAGCAAAGACTGCCTTGGATGTGTTGTCAAACCTGTGTGAGCAAAGTGGGTGGAAGTGGGTGGATGGTATGTTGCTTGGCGGGTGCCTTCATTACGCTCTCGAGCGTTACGATCAGGCACTCGAGTGGTTTAGACGGGTGCTCAGCATTGACGAAAGCCATGTTGAAGCCATTTCCCACACGGCAGCAACACTTTACTCCATGAACAGACCTGATGAAGCCGAGCACCACTGGATGCAAGCCGTGAAGAAACGACCGAGCTATTTGGAGGCGGTGGAGAGCTTGGTGAATATGCTAATTTATAGGCATAAGAGCCCAGAAGCGGTCAAGGTGATTGACTTCGTTCAGCGCTCTTTGAGGATGTCCAGCCCTGGTTCAGCACATGATCAAGTCAGTGAAACTGGGAGCGAAACGGACACGGCATCGACGGCAACCATCAGAGAACCTAGCCCTGACCCGTTTCTGCATGATGGGGATAAAACCGATAGCCCCGAGACATTCTTTGCCTTCACTGCAGAGAATAGCAGGCAACCAGGCTTTGGTTCGAGTGGCTATGCTATTCCTGGGAGCGAGAATGGGCGGATGATCAGCATTATCCATGCCAAAGGGAACATCCTCTACTCCCTGAAGAACATAGATGGCGCATCCAAAGCTTTTGAGGAGGCTGTTTTAGTTAGCGCCGGAAGACAGGTCAAGGGACTCCAGTCACTCATCCGCCTGATACAGAGTGTCCTCAATCCAGGGAATGGTGGGATGGTATCGCTGCAGAATTCGACGAGAAAGAATCTATCTGCACCGCTATTGCTCCCTCCTGAGAGAGCAAAACACACTGCTAAGCTCGTTTTTGCGGCTAGCGGTGGGCATCTCCCTGGGCTTCGACACGTTGTATCGAGTAGTCAGAGGAGGTCGGCCGTATCAACGACAAGCAACGCTCTGCTTTCACTGGCCAAAATCTTGCAAGATGCCATGTCCAATGGAGGTTCTGGTACAGGCGTCCCACAGCAATCACCCAGTGTTGGTGATATTCTGGCTCTTTACTACTTGTCTCTTTCTCTCCAGGAAAGTCCATCCACAGCTAATAACGTGGGAATTCTTCTTGCGAGCGTCCAACTCACGGCATCACAACAGGTGTCTGTCCCAGATGCCTCTACGGCGGCACCGATCCCTGGAATTGTACCTGGGAGTGGGCTTGCTTTAGCGCTGGCTTACTACCAGTACGGACTCACGTTGGATCCGAAGCATGTACATCTTCATACGAACCTGGGCAGTCTCCTTAAGGATATCGGCCAACTCGATCTAGCCATCTCCATGTACGAGAAGGCAGTGGCTTGTGATGGCACTTTTGACATTGCCTTAACGAATCTTGCAAATGCGGTCAAGGATAGGGGTCGCACCAACGACGCCATCGTCTACTACAAGCGGGCCGTAACCTCGAACCCGGATTTCGCTGAAGCAGTCTGTGGACTTTCTACTGCTCTCAACTCGGTGTGCGATTGGCGGGGCCGTGGCGGAGTTCTGCTTGCCAACGGCAGGTACGACCGGTGGCATGTTGGTGAAGATGGAATGCTAGAAGACGTAACGAAACAGGGCAGGGGAAGCGGCCTCATGCAGCGCGTGGTTGACATTGTTGCCCAGCAGCTGAGGGAAGCGTCTGCCTGGGGTTGCGGTGTCTTGCAAGAACAATCCGCTATGCAGTTGATGGCTTATCTCAAGACTGCCAGGGCTGCTATCGCCGATGGTACACTGGACCTAGATGCGGAGTTGCAGAAATGGTCTGGTAAACCATGGGAAGGTTCCCGGGTGTTACGGCTGATCGAACGAGCTACAAAAACTACCGTGCGGCGTTGGTATCGTGACAGGTACATCAACGGCCAAGAGTCGGCTTCTGGATACGCTCGGCCAAGGGTTCCCGGCACTCTCACGGTTCCAACCGCGCCAACAGTCCTACCATTCCACACCTTTACATGTCCTCTCACAGCCAAGGATGTCCGAATGATCTCTCAGAGGAATGCGCTTAGGATCTCGTGTTCCACCCTCAGATCTTCCTGGATCCCCGCCACGGTATATGAACCCCCGAAACCACCAAGTCCACAACTCAACATAGGCTATGTATCTTCCGATTTCAACAACCATCCTTTGGCACACTTGATGCAATCTGTCTTTGGATTCCACGACAATACACGGGTGAGGGCTTTCTGTTATGCGACTACGGCCAGCGATAAGTCGATTCACCGCCAACAGATCGAGCGCGAGGCACCAGTTTTCCAAGATGTGAGCACCTGGTCATCCGACCGGCTGGTACAGCAGATTGTTGCAGATGGAATTCATATCCTGGTAAATCTTAACGGCTATACCAGAGGAGCTCGCAACGAGGTCTTCGCAGCACGACCTGCACCGATTCAAATGGCCTTTATGGGATTTGCAGGGACACTGGGGGCTGAGTGGTGCGACTATCTGCTCGCAGATACGACGTCAGTGCCACCATCAACATTGCGTCCACACCGTGACAACCTAAGTCTGGAGGATGTCTTCCGTGATGAAGCTGATGCCGAGGCCGACGATTGGGTATACTCGGAGAATCTCATATATTGCAAGGACACATTCTTTTGCTGCGATCACAAACAGTCTGCCGATGGTTCGGACGAGAGAGGGATGACGTGGGAAGAGGAACAGAGGAGGCGATGGAATATGCGCAAGATGCTGTTCCCCAACCTCCCAGACGACAGGATCATCCTCGGTAACTTCAACCAACTCTACAAGGTACGTTTCCTCAATTTTGCAAGGGAATTTGCATGTGCAGCTCCGCTGACTAACGCCCTTGAACAACAGATCGATCCTACTACGTTTCGAACCTGGCTTCGCATACTAGCACATGTTCCCAAAGCTGTCTTGTGGCTTCTGCGGTTCCCCGAGCTCGGCGAAAACAACCTCCGCCGGACGGCAAAGCTCTGGGCAGGTGAGGAAGTCGCCAGCCGCATCATCTTCACCGACGTGGCTCCCAAGCAGCAACACATCGCCCGCGCCCGCGTGTGCGACCTCTTCCTCGACACACCCGAGTGCAACGCACATACGACGGCCGCCGACGTCCTGTGGTCGAGTACACCGCTGCTGACCCTGCCGCGGTACGAGTACAAGATGTGTTCGCGCATGGCGGCGTCGATTCTCAAGGGAGCGTTGCCGAAGAGTGAGGCGGGAAGACAGGCGGCTGAGGATCTGATTGCTGGTGATGACTATGAATACGAGAACAGGGCTATCAAGCTTGCGAATGGGTTGACGTACGAGTTGGTTGTGGATGGGTTTTCTATGCCAGGGTATAATGGTGCTGGTGGTGCTGGTGGTGGTCACGGCGGTTACAGAGCTAGTTACTATGGTAAACCGGTCGGAAGACTCGCCGAGCTGAGGAAATTGCTGTGGGAGAGCAAGTGGACTTGTGCGTTGTTTGATACGCGGAGATGGGTCAGGGACTTGGAGGATGCATATGAACAAGCGTGGCAGAGGTGGGTTGACGGCGTTGGTGGGGATATCTATCTCTGAGCGCTGGGTAAAGGGCCACTTATTGCCAGTTCCATCATCTTTTAGTAAGACTAGATTCTTTCGTTTTCTCCTTTCTGCTTCTATCGTGGCTAGGCGGGAAATATCAAGTTAGATCTGACGGAGTTATGGGAGGAGGAAAGACATTTGCACACAATTTGCGCAAATTTCAAATCAAGCCATTGCTTTTCTTTCTCATTCTTTTTTGGTGGCATGGGAAGACACAGCGCGAGCTGGACTCTCTGCGGACAAATGATTCGATGCTCGGTACAATGACCGTTTTTTGACAGCCATGACGATGGATATGTTGCCAATACAGTTAGCCGAGGATTTGCTTGGCTCCCCAGTTTGACTCTATAAGTGTGTAACGGGCATGCTGCTCCTTTTCACACAGCATCGTTTGCAAACTCTTGTGGACCTTCCATGCATTTGCTTCTCTGCCCATTGGCATTTGTTGCTACCTATCAAAAGCAAAAGTGTGTGTCCTATAGTTGCGGCCGGTCGGGCACTCGTATTGACTTTTTTTTTTTTTTTTTTTCCTTCTCGAAAGGGCAAATACTGCCTATATACCTAAGCTTAGTTCCCTGCCACTGTGCTTCATAACTGAACTGGCAAGTTCCGTGGAAGGCCAATGACGACAGCGAGTAAAGGAAGAGCTGAATACTCGATGATGAGGAGTAGGTGAGTACCTAGCATGCTCAGGGTGAAGTGGAACTCGGAGGCAGAAAGCGTAAACTGTTTCAAATGTCCGGAAATCGCACTCCGAGGTGGTAAGCCATCATTGGAAGTGGCAGATTCTTAGTAAAAATATGTCAACGTACATGGAGTGAACCGGTTAGGAAAAGCGGACGATGCCACGGAATATGCGTGTTCAGAATTCGTTGTCAAGAATTGGCGAACGAACGTCAGAGAGTGGGGATCGGTGAGTGTTTAAACTTGCATCTCTTTTCTTCAGCTGTATGAGTCTCCTTGGTGATTCGCCAAAGTCCAAGTCATTCAAGCTCGTTTAGTTTAGCCGCGTCCCCAACCAGTTGGCCGGTATAGCAAGCCCTTTTTACGCCAAATTGTACCTCTATTCAGGTAGGTGCATAACTCAGAGATGTCAAAAGGGCATCGTGGCTAGGATACCAGTGCAGTAAGTGAGTGATCTAGTTCGGTTCCCACCACTGTGCACCAGCAGAGACGGGCATTTTGGAACTTGAAGCCCGGCCTAAAGTTTGGTATTGGTTCCGTCCTTACAGTTTGCGTCAGCCAGACTTGGTGTGATGATGGGCCATGCCGCACGAATTGCCACGGATGCGTGGTAATAAGTGAGTGAACTCAACAAGGGAACAAAAGCCGAGTGTCTTGGAAGCCTTGAAGGGGAACCCGGGTTCAAGTTCATCCATCCTTCTATGGCACCCGCCGCCGTTGTAGCCTGATCTTGCACGTACTGCGTAGCATCATCCCCTTTACTTACCTATTCAATCGACGCCAATGCTTGGTCGGCACTCGTCAGTCGGGTTCACTGCGGCACCAGCGTAATGAACGAAAGTCAAATACTTGGAGCACCGGCCTCCGAAGACGAACCTGCTACACTGCAAGTCATTCATTGACACTCAGGTTCCATTCTCTGAATATCGTCCTTGTGTGTCCATTGTGACCACTCTGAAGAGCGTTGAGGGACTCAGCTGTTGACCGCGGCAGTTCAACTCAAGTTACTACCTAGTCAAGTTCTTTCAAGGCCGCAGTAACATGGAACTAACGGAATTGCAGGGTTGACATTAGCAATCGGTCGGCTGCTGTAGTCCGTCGCTCCAAGTGTAGAGGTACTATAGTGCGGTGAGTCCACTGCAGTCCTTTGAGTTCAGTTAGTTCTCCGTGAGTCCATCGCGACTTTCAACTCCAAGGAAAGGCCCTCCCACCGCCTACCTCTAGGCTCCTGCACGCTCAGTCATTACGCTAGCCCAGCGAGACTGCAGCTTTTATGGGACCCGGCCCACGGAACAAACTGAAGAGTGAGGCCTTATGTCGCTCTTTCTTTCCGTCCTCAGAAACCGTTGTGAGCTCACAGGTCATATCAAAGGTGGAGCAACCGTTCTTTCCCTGCCGCAACAGTTGTGCCTTCCTCAGCCGGCCGGGCGCTTAGCAACCGCCAACAACCGTCAAGCTTCCGTCATTCACTCTCACTCACACGCAATGTCCTTGCCAAGTTCGTTTCGGGCTCCTCGGCATTCAGTCTCAGCTCGCTCTTTCCGTCTTGCATCTGCCTCCGATGGGTTCCCTTGCTACCTCTACCTACAAAGGCCTGAACCTGAAAGAACGAACCCGTAATTTACGAGATCAAACTACTGGCGTAATTATCCATGGACATGCTGTTAGTGACGGCCATTCTTGATTATGTGCAATTTGATCGCTCTACTACCCCTCTTAACAGTGGAGGGTATCGTACACAGCTCGCGCGTATCAGACGGTTTTGTAACCACTCCGTCTGCTTCGGTCAACTACAAGGTTGGTCTGAAACTTGTAGAGGTAGGTATCTGTAGGAAGTACCTCTAGTAAAACTTAACCTCGCGGCGTGAATCGATTCATCCAGCCTTTTTCTTTGCAGCCCTTCGTTGTGCAGTGCAGTGGACCAAAGCAGGCGAACAATTGAGTATGCCGTCCGCCTGCGTTCTGGACCTTCAGTTTTCACTTTCTACTGAGGTCTACTGGTAGCAGCTGTCAGCAAATGCACTGCACTCTCCACAGACGTCAACCATCCCGTTATGCTGTCGGAGTGTCCTCCTCCCTCCTTCCGGCCCACTGGCATGAGTCGCTCCGCAAATACGAGACAAGCACTTATCCCAAAGTGGTCAGAGCAGAGACAGTGTTACTACCACACAAGTACACTCTGCGCAAAGACTAGAGTAGGTAGGTACCTTGGGAATCACGGTGGGCGAGGAGGCAAAGAATACCGTGACCTCCACGGCCACCTGGTCCATCCGGCTCTACTGCGTAGTGATCGGGGGGAGTTGTGACGCCTTCCGGAGATGATGGATGGGAGCATCAAACCTATGGTAGTAAATGAGGCAAGGTTGGTTGGTAGAGGTAGGTAGAGGTGTATGCAGCCGTCTTGACAGTACATCACAAAGAGGCTGGCCACTTGATCAGAACGGTTAGGTTGGGGCTGACATAAACGGTTAAAGGGGGGAGAGAACCAACAGCAATGTTCCCCGACCCTCGCCTTCACCCTCCCCGCTTCCGCTTTTATGCTCCTGTCCTCCTGGGTATCACACTATCCCAGTCATTCCGGATGTCGGATGTGCTTCCCTACCTGCCTACCTATGTCTCGCTCACTACAGACTTTGGTGTAGAACAAAACCCTAATTAATCTCTAGTACACAACCGTCGCTCCCGCACTTCATCCGTTCTCTCTTTTCCATCATGAATTTTCTCAGCCGCCCTTCTTTCTTGTGGGGCCTACGGCCTGTATCAACGGTACCCACCACCATTATGATGACCATATATTATTCATTCAGCCCAGCCCTGTATTTCTGGGATGGGCTTACTTCATAATACTACTGAAGTTATGCATTGCTTGTCGTTGCTCACAAATGGCATCCATTTTCCAAAAAGTGCAATTTCCCTCATTGATCTGGTCTGACCAATCCAAACGCTCATACACACTTTCGGGACTTGATTGCCTTCCTTTCAAACTAACTAACTAACCAGATTCCGAGCCTTCGACCAGACCCAGAAACTAAGAGATGGCTGAGATGGCGTCAAGTGGAGGACTTACAGAGTTTCAGCCATAAAGCATCCATTGGGCAAAGACTCATGTAGCTCCTCGTCACATCCCCCGCTTTGAAATCAGAATAACATATCGGGGCTCCTGTTCGTAGCCCTTCCATGAAAGCAAGATCGTTTTTGATACGCATTGTGTGTGCCATCGCCCTTCCGTATGGCGGCGCATTACTCCCGGTTTGATACATCTCGTCTGAACAGAGTCAGTTCCGTCGGTACGTCTCAAGCATCCACTACCGGCCGTTGTCACCTTTCATGTAAGTACCGCAATACCTAGTTAAGTGAGCGGGAAGGCACAGTCCAAGTGGACTACGGCAGTCGGAAACCAACCGAGCCCAGCAACATCAAGGTCATTCGTTGACCAGGCTCCCTGCTTTATCAACATCTCCTAATCGAATACTCATCTGGATTCTTGCTATATTCTAAAAAGTTTGCTAGGCCGCACATCAGGAAGAAGTGAGTAGGACCGGGTCCGGTCGCAACGGACAAGTGCGTTGGCATCCATATCCTTCCCCTCCTCTACACATCTCTTGCATTAATACCCTGGTCATGTCTCACTTTGAGGCATCTCTCGGCGATAGTGGCAATAGAAGAAAGATCAATGTCCAGTGGGCTCTCACAATGAGAAGGGTCGAAGATCTGGACTCCGACCGGGGACCAGGGAATGAAGAAGAAAGGTTGCGGCATGAGCTGTGCTTGGCCGAGCGGGGGTCGGGGGCCGCAAAAAAAATGGGATTCGAGATGACCTTGATGCAGGCCACGCGCTGACTTGATGCCTTTCTGGGCATGTTGCAGCAAGACTTTTGATCAGGTCGCCGACCTACCTACATCCCTCTGGTTCATTATCAGCCCTGGAACTGCAATTCGATTGTGGGTCTGCAGGACGTACAACGTAAGCCACAGAAATAAGTGCCTGGTGTCTCTGTATCTGTTCGACCATATACGGAGTTTTCCGTATTCTGGCACCGACTCTCTCATCGGTTATCATGTCGACAGTGCCAGCAGCTGCCAAAGGCTTCCACCAAGCTTGATCTTCGCCCTTCAAGTGGGCCACCCAACACGTTAAGAAGACAGTAGCATTGCATCTTCTCCCCTGATGTCGTACTGATGGCAGGACTTCCTGGTATTGAGTATCCTTCTGGATGGACCGGGCAATATGTGGCCATCCAAAAACGCTGCTAGCCCAGCTGATGAACTGCCTTCAGGCGTTTAATCAAGCGCCGATTCCGTTGAGTGTCTCGGAGATGCGGATGCAGCGCGTAGAATGGAGACCCCGTTTACCAACAGGCCGGATGAAAAAAAAAAAAAAAAAAAAAAAAAAAAAAAAAAAAAAAAAAAAAAACAGGCAAATGGAAGCTGCCGTGATGGCATTGTCTTGAATGTCTGACAGCCACTATCCTGAAGTAGGAAGGAAAAGCAGAGTCGAAGGGAGCGAGTTAGGTAGCGTTGATTGTTGACGCTTCCTCAGTCGAGTGGATCCAAATGATGTACCATCAAGAGCATGGCAATGAGGCGGATCTTGCCAATGATGTGCGTAAGCTAAGGTAGTCGATAAGAGGCCTATGGAGAAGGGTAGTGTCTCGGTCCAAGTTCGAAACGGGGACTCGAGTCCCAGCCACAATGAATGTGTGAACGCCTTTCATGCCATCTTGCATGGAGCACGTCGAGGAGGCTCTGGGTTTGAGCTGGACAGGGGTTTGGGCATTAGAGGCATCCAATCGTTGACAGAAACGGTCCGCGGAGAGTCTTCTTGGTGAAGGTCATACCGCTAGCCAAGCATATCAATATTCTTGCGACCGTTTCTGCCTCCAGACTGACAGGGTGCTTGGTCCCTCATAAAATTATCTTGCTGATAGGGTAGGGGGAATCGCATGGAGATAAACCTTGTGTTCGGTGTGGAATTGAACACCCACCAGCTAACTAAAGTTCGATCTCATCTTGGACTCATACATTCGATTGAGGCTTTCGGGTACGGTGGGTGAAACATAATCAGCCACTATTCCGTGTTAGTCAATCTTGTTCTCACTACACTACCACTGTTGGTTTCGAGAACTAGGGAGTTATACTCACCTATGGTTACAGTACAGACCCCTGAAACTGCATGTACATAGTATTGCAGACACTACGGGGGAGCGCCATGTATGTGTATGCGGAAAGGGGTGCTGGCTTCTGGTGGGAGAGAGGCAGTTGTAGCCGCGCCTACAACAATGATGTAAGTGTACACTAGGTACTGTAGAGAAATTTTGGCATGTAAACAATGTACTCTATATGCAGTTGCTGGAGTGTGCGCTCAGGGGTTAATACTGTACACTACTTCCAACATGGTGCTGCCGTATTCCAAGGTTACATTTGCATCTCGCTCCTGCCCCACACTTCGCAACCTCATCGTCAAGAAGGTTTAGCGGAAGACCAGGGTGACCGTCAAAACGACTGGGGCGAAGCCGTTGCAGTCAATGACGGGGAAGCCCCATGGAGAAGAGCAGGCGTACCCCCAGGACGCTATTGTTGAGGTTTCAGGGAACTGTCTCCACCGGTACTGCATACACAATACCTATACAGCGACATGTCTTGTCAGCTTTCGGTGTATTTTGGTAGCTTATTGCATCTGATGCGGGATGTAACTTGCTCATACCATCATCTTGCTGAGATTGGTTTGCCTTTATGACTTGCTGCTCTCTTTTTCCAGTAAAACGCAATGCAATGGCCAGTTGACACCGTACTAGGATAATGATGGCTGAAGTAACGTGCCCAGGCGACAAGGGTTATGAAGATCTTCCTATTTGGGCACGAGGGCGCCAAAGCTTCAGCTGGACGCTCGCTAGAAATCGCCAGGCAAGGTTTACGCAGTAGAGGGTCAAGGGCGGGTTGGACGGTACACGACGGTAGGGATCGATGGGCGGGCAAGGATTTCGACAAGGGGGCTACCGCAACAGTCAAGGAACGCCACCTGGAAGATCTTCCTGCCATAATTGGACGCCTCTTGACCCGAAGCTGTGTGACAACGGTTTTTTGCGTCAACGCTAAAGAGTTTGGCGGACGGATCGCTCCCCTTCTTGGGTCTCAGGTCGCCGAGTCGGGCTTTAGCCACATGGTATGAGGGAGGGTGGTGCCCGAGCCGCTGGCACGCAGCCGTATCTGTACCAGTTTTGTCAGTGTGGCTGATTTGGTTCCGTTTGGACCGTTTTCCCGGACTACTGGTACGAGGTTCGGGTTCCGAGGAGGGGGAAGCCCGTGGCTGTGGAGCAGCGTAATGGCACCGGCGACTCGGCGACTGTTGCGAGCCTTCGACTGGAGTAGGAAGACAATAGTAGAATAGACTCCTTCGAAAGACGGTCAGTGCACGTGTAGTGGTGCCGTGCCCAAGTCCGTCCGGGAATTGACCCGTGGTAGTGTAGTGGGGTGACCTTTTTGCCCGGTTCTCGTCTCGCGCAATCCCCAGTTTTCAAGCATGCCGATGGTATTCCATGCGCTGGAGCTGCGACTAACACGTATGAACACTCCAACGCTCCGTCCGTCAGGATGTTAGCGACTATTGGGGACGCACCTAAGCACGTCTAGCACCCGCTCGCTCCTCGGCATCTCATGGCTTGGATGGAGACGTGTGGAGCGATTATTTGCTAGCCTGGCCGATTCAGTCCAGCATGCCCAGGTGTGGTAGTTGTACGAAAGCTCAGCAGGATCGCGACCATCCGGTATTCGGTGCAAGTTGCAGCCAAGAACTGGGTGCTTTCGTCGACACGGAATCATTCCATCGTTGTTCCGCTATCTTGGCGGCCTTGGATCGAAACTAGTGTGGTTTGTATGCGTTTGCTCCCTCTAGTGTACCGTCGTTATCTGCAGGTTGCGTCTGTACCGGGGTCATCGTGGATATATTGCAGGACATGACGACAAGGTGATCGGGGGCAGATGAAATTGGAGACGTGAGTTCATGAAGTCCAACCACTTCTCCCAAGCAGCCCTGGAGCTGACGGATGGCGGGATGATGATCTGTATTGACAGTGGGGCAGTAGACGAGACGCAAACCATTGTTGCAATGCGGCTGCAAGTCATTTTTGTTCACTGCATCGACGACGGACTTGGAATGCCCGTCAGACTGTGCCCTGCCCCGTCCTAGTAGGTACAGTATCCTCAGTGTGCCCCGTGTCTATCATCGCCGGGCCGGTCTGGTGTCACGCAGTCTACTAGAGCGACCTGACCCGAGTCCTCAGGCTACCATTCGACTGGGAAGGAGTAACTGGAGCTAGGTTATAACGTGGTAAGTACTGCTAGAAACATGAAGTGGTTTGCCAGATTACACCGGTTTCACTGGCTGCAGTCAGAGTGACCACAGTAATGTACTTCGTAGACAAGGAAGGGACGACTTGCCCCATATGCCATGGTTGGTAGAGGTAGTACCAGGTGGAAGTTATGAGTGAGACAGAGAGATATAGTCGATATTATAGGGGAGGTAAATTCCATATTGACTGGCCCCTTCCCGACGAGTCGGGACCACTGCGGGGTAAGGGCACAGCAACTTCCATCACGTTGAACGAATCGAAGAGGAAGCTTGACTCGGGAGCTCAAGGCAGCCGTGATTGCTTCAGTGGGTGGCTACAAATTTGGTTAACGTTTAACGCGCCGCGGGGTGTTTGTTGCGTTTCAGCTACCATACATAATGTGAGCGGGGGTACAGTCGATCTTATGTGTAGTGTACAATATAGGGCCGTTGAAGATGGTGGGGATGGGTTGCTGCTTATCCCGCTTAGTAAAGGGCTAAACTTGCCCTGAAAATGCAGTGTACGGCATTGGGATAACCACATTACATAGGACTCTCATGTCTCAAATTGGAAGCTACGCACCGGAGATATAGCCATGTCGAGGACTGCAGACATGTCTCCTCCGGCGCGGGCTTCGTTATACGGGCCTGGGACTGTATCATCTTTACACTACGGCGCGGGTTCGGGGTGCTCCGTCCGGACATCGCTCCCAATCACCATGTAAATCTGTTCGCTTGTTCGTCCCTTTTTTGTCCGATTTCTGTCGGTACAGTATGCATCCAAGCGTTACGATCTCTGGCTCACTGACTGAGACACTGCCTACATACTGTGCGTCAACCGTTGAGCTTGGTGAGATGGACACGCCGTTGTGTCCTCCGAACCCCTGCTCCGATGCATTTAACCGGTCGGGAACCCAAGTTACTGGATCGCTAAGATCCCGTCACGCTGATGACCTTTTAAAGCCACTGCTCACACAACCCTAGAGCTAATCAATCCTGTCCACATTTAGCAACAAGCGGACGGGAAAACAGCGGAATCTCCCTCTCAAGCCGAGGCAGGGAACTCGCAAGACACTCACACCCGGGCTTGGGAGACCTGTAGTCTACATTACAATACTGGTATGTTTGTTGGTTTGCTTCTTTTGAGTCTAGTAAGATCTGGCCTTGTTCTTACCAACGAACAAACAAACTAGGGCTGGATAGTAAAGAAGCCAAACACCGGTACCCCAAGTGTAAAGGCCTACTTGGTGCAAGGGAAATAATCTGCCCAAATTGTTTGCATTACCTGATAGGGCACACGACTAGGTATAGTGTCAAGATCGGTACGATGGGTTACCGATTCCCTTCATGTTACCCAATTCACTCGAGTGCTTGGCCTGTCAGCATTCATCCTGCCATCTGTTTTCTTTCCTTTTTCCCCCCCTCTCTTGGAGTTGGACCGAGCTGTCCACCGCCAGTTCGGTCTCGGCCAAGGAGAAAGGGTTAACTTGACTATTAGCAGCGGGAATCACGGCGTCAAGCATATCCGTCCTTGGGCGTGTTTGGAAGAGAACATGCAAGATAATCCGCGGCAGCAAATCCCGGCCCTCTATACCGTACTGTGGTTGCGAGCCGAAAGAAACCCTTGTCAGGTACCGAGCACGAGCCACCACAGGCAAAACTTCGTGGCTTTGTATATAGCACTGTGTGATCAGCGATCGTCAGCGCCCTGGCCCACGGGTTTTACCCATCTCACCACAGTAACAAATATTCGCCCAAGGGGGGGACAGCCAATGTGTGAGAGTAGATACATGGCTGACGAGAATAAGTACCTACGGTACTAGGCCTGAGGGAAGGATGCCAATAAGAGTGCTCTCTCACCCGGGCGACCCAATACTATGCAGTATATACGATAGCGCTGTATAGTTAGGTAGATACCGCACTGTTGGCATATTAGGTGCAACCGACAGTTTGGGTGGGCGATGGACTGGACGGATCACGGACGCGGAGCGGATCGGTGTGGATAGGGCCGAGTTCAAGATTTTAAGGTGAGCGCTTCCGAGTTCAGTGAACGCCTCGATCGGGTTGGTTTTGGCGATCCTGCCTTCCCTGCTATTCTTGCTGTTGTGTTCCTGCTGAGGTATCGACACCGTAGGTAGGTAAGGGTTCCTTTGGTTTCCCGGTCCTGAACTGGGTTTTTCTGCGATCGCTGAGTTAGGACTGGACAATCGGACAGCCTATGGTCGTCACTCGAGGTCCCAGGCAGCACACAAGCTTCGGCTTTGGCAGTTCCCGGAAACGCCATGGTCAGGGTTTGTGCTGGACGGATGTGTTGCCAATCTTATTGGATCGAGCGAGTTAAGGGCTCGGACATCAGGATACGACCAAGTGCTACCTACCTCCTCGCAGCAGACACATACCTAGGCACACGCAAATTGTTGAACGTAGATTGGCACTGGTTTGTCACTTTACTGCGGATTCATTGATCGAATAGACGGGAAAGGGTAGAATTAATCTTGCGCGTAGGTTCGTCGATCCAGGGAAATGGCGTAACTTGTCTTGGGATTTATCGTGGCCGCGACCGGAAAGGGCGCTGTGAATAGAAGGCTTGGAAAGACCACAGTGATCCGGTTGGCTGCCAACGAGGGACAACTGGCTGCCCGGTCTGGACGACTTGACCGTCCAGCCAATCAGACCATGCAACACTAACAATTCAACAAAATGCACGGGCTCCGGATTTGGACACTGAGGTTTCTTACGTGCCTGGGCTCTTGCCTCTTGGCTAGGTAACTTACTACTTCCTGGTCGCTTCGACAAATTTTCAATCAAGTAGTAGATAAGATGAGTTGGAGGCTCTGTCTGTCGGTTTTCTTTCCTTTCGACGTATGCCGCCTCACCTCAATCCAGGGGCAGCTCGAATACATGCCTTTAAAAACCTCCTCGACGCACGGATATCAGTTCCATTGGCATGGCATTAATTCCCTTGTACAAAGCTGCCGGCGCCAGGGGTATGCTGTCAAGCAAAACTGGGCCAGAACCCTTTCCCCCCCTGCCTGAGCGCACTCACCGTTTTCATTACAGGCTACCGATAGACGTCATGGTCTGACCGTTTTGGTCTTTGCTCGCTTTCCGTAACCGGTACCGACTGCGCTAAAGGTGGGTTATCCCAGTGCCTTCAGGTTGCATTAGCTTACAGTAGCATATCAGACAAGGGGCGGTCCTTGGACTCAGACATCGAATTAGGTTAAGGAAGCCACTGGCATTTTTTTAAATGGCACCTGTCGTTTCGACACAGCCAGCAAGGTATCTACACAGTCTTGTCGACCGGAAGTAGATACATGGCGACAAGGAACGCCCAGTGCAAGTATACTTGGTACCTCGCCCGGCTCAGATGAGGCATTCACGGTATCCTTCTTCCTAGGAAGTAGCTTGTTCATGCTAGCCATCGGCTACGTGTACATACTGTGTAGTACGCTACGAGCTGGGCTATACGAATACTATGTAGACACGATAAACAATTTGTAAGGGGCTGAGAAGTGGACTGCCTGGTATGCGGAATCCCACCTCGTACTATGTACACCAATCGACCCCTGGCTGAGACGCGTACCAGAAGTGGAAATCCGTTCTTCCAAACGGGGGGAGCTCCAGTCATAGACTTGCACTTGGGTACCTGCAAGTGAAATACTAGGCTAGCCGATATCCAGCAGGCTAGTACATACATGACATTTCGGGCCTGCGCCTTACTTTCTTCTTCCTCGCATCCCGTCATCTACTAGCGTCCGTCGGTAGCATTAGACCGTCTGAGAACATCATCCCACACACCTTCAGATCGGCCAGTCATCTTATAAACCTCGTTCCCTTCTGACTACTTTATCTTCCTCCCCATCCCCAACCTGCATTCCCGTACCACCTTCAACCGCCCATCTCTACCATCAAACATCTATTACAATCATCGACATCCACGCCGACTCGACATCAACAAAGCTCCATTGAAGGATAACATCATTAGTCTTCAACGCAACCAAGACCAAAACCGTCGTCTACCTTATCGACATTTTCGATCATCATGTCTAACATGCCCGACCAACGGAGAGGCCCCTGGTCAGCAGGGGAGGATCAGCGACTCATCAAGTTGGTCAAGGACCTAGGACCGGGAAACTGGGTCAACGTTGCCCGCATTCTCGGAACCAGAACCCCCAAGCAGTGCCGAGAGCGATGGCACCAAAACCTGAAGCCAGGGCTGAACCACGGACCTATGACACAGGAAGAGGCCGCTATCATCGTTAGAGAGGTAGATCTGAAGGGGCCTCGCTGGGCAGACATTGCCAGGAAGCTCCAGGGCCGCAGCGACAACGCAGTCAAGAACTATTGGAACGGCCTCAACAACCGCAAAAAGAACCAGCTTAGGAGACAGAGTGCACCAAGACGCGTTTCTGCCTCCGATGTTCTAAGAAGCAGCCCCGGTCAACCGCCGAGAGCGCACATGCAGCGCCCCATCAGATACCCTCAGGACATCTACACGGGATCTAGGAGGCCATCCAGTCCCAGTAGCTTCAATGACAGCCTTCATCACCGCGTCCATGAGTCCATCGAGTGGTTCCCTTCTAGGCCACAGCAGCAGCAGCAGCAGCAGCAGCAGCAGCAACAGGCTCGATGCACTACGCCCTTCACATCTTTTTTCCCTCCATCACATGCCTTCCCCACTACCGATGGATATCAAGATGGAAGCGATTGCCCAAATGGAAACACTCTGCGGCTCTTGACACCACCCACATCAAGGCGACTTGCCCCATTCAGCACCTTGCCCTCTCCTACTACCTCATCCATCGGAGACTTGGATGAGTTTGATCGCCGACAGCTAGCAGCATTCGCACCACCTGCGGCCTACCGTCGTCCCAGTCTTCCTTTCCCTCAGCAATCATCAATGGGATACTTCCCTTCTGCCACCGAGTACCTTCCCACGGCACCTAGCTCGCCTATTGCCTTGGTTCAACGAGACGAGAAAAACCATGCCAGGATTCCTGTCACAAGCCTCTTGTGCTCTTGAACAGGTGGACCAAAATACCAACTATCTCTCACCTACGAAGATCATAATAACCCGAAAGCCGAAGGCTAACGGGGGCGGGTCGAACTGGTCATAATCACATATGGTAAGTTTTCCTGATGACGATGCCCTCCTCAAACACACATGACGCTTACATAGTACATCAGATCAGAACAGCGTACAGCATCAATCCTGAGCTTGGTGAAATCACCACACTCATCTTGTCCTATCAAAATAAAGGGACTGCAACTATCTTATAGCGTAATCAAAAGCAGACAGAAGGAACTGAAAATTGGGTTGGGCATAGCGGATGGATAGAAATACGTTATTCACGCCCCGCACTACCTACAATCAAGTAGTCAGTCGGTGGTTTTTTGTTCTTCTTTCCTCTTTTCTTGTATCAAGGGTCGGATGGCCTGAGGAGCGGATGGGCAGACGGAAGAGGTCATTTTTTTTTTTTTTTTTTACTGATGAGATACCCCCCACATCAGCAGATGCTCTGCGGCACGCTGTTTTCCAAAATCAAAGAAAAATTAATCGGTCAAATTAAATTACAGTGGCAATCTGCTCTTCCTTGTTCTACCTTGTGCCTACCTGCGTCCAACAGTAGAAAGTGAACATGAATGCGAGTCGATGTAGCCGATGAGCTGATAAAGCTTACGACATCGCATGAGGTACCAAGAGTCTTCTTGACTTGGGGTCGTTCAGGGCCAAGGACTACAATCAATTACCAGCATACAGAAAATGCCCGTTCCTTACACGAACTAGGATATCTAAAGTAGAGAAACATATCGTGTTATACGAGACGCTCCCCCCTCTTCCCGGGTTCAGTGTTCATTATTCAGATTGAGGTTGTGCAACCAACTTCTAAATCACTAAGTTTAGATCACACACACAAACTGAACACAACAAATCGGTTGCCTCTTAATCTATTATCCCCCCCTTTCCGCCATTTGTAGTTTTGTTTTTGGCACTTTGCTTTTGGTGTATATGTCTACCTAGGTAGGCGTTTTCTTCTATAACAAGGCTTCTTCTTCTTCTTCTTCTTCTTCTTCCATAGTACAACTTTTAATTTCCGATTCCTTTCCAATTTGTATGAGACATATTATTCACGGACAGAAAATGTTTTATTTCTCGGGTTTCACTTCCGTTTTCCCGTTTTCCCGATACATAGTCAGAAAAGGGTAAGTTTGACCGAGGATGACCCACGCGGGACAACTTCACACAAGTCACCAACAACAATACCTAACGATAACCGCACACCGATCCTCAAAATCTCTTTGTAGACAAAAAAAAAATCCACATTATAGACTGACGAACAAGGAAAATGGGCCATGCGAACTGGAGATAACTCAATTGAAGCCAGCTTGCTTGTTGGGTGATGGAACTTGACGCAATTCCCAAAGGGGGGAGGGGCCGACAATCTGGATGGAGTATAAGAGGGTCCACGAGGACTGGAGTCGGGAATAAAGGGAAGGGAAAGAAGGAGCGGAAGGAGCGGACACTAAGTATTGGCACTGGCAACGGTGAAACTAGTTTCAGTTTCTCGGTTCTTGCTAACGATTACATAGAAGACGTTTAAATATGTTCACTACCTACTTACTCGTTTTCGCAATGCGGGAAAAGGGTAGTTGGTTTAGATAGGTACTAGTGTAGGCTTAGGCACCAGCGCGTGTACTTTTACACCGGCGATGTTGGAGATGTTAGTGTTTGTGGGTGATGCACAGCGGCCAGTTGCATACCACAAGTCGTCTACGGGGTTATGGCATTCTTCTTTCTTGGAAGGTGGTTCGGAATGTGGTTTCTGTGGTTCCTGTGCTTGGTGGTTTGTGTGTGGTCTGCTATACGACGACCGAAGTGGGATCCCAAACTAGTGTCGAGCTGCAAAATAACCTAAGGACCAACACAACCCCCGATAAAAAAAAAACTGCATCAAATGGATGAACGACCGGGATCATGGGCCCGGAGACATGAAAAATCTCTAAAGGGGTTCAGCTCACCCACTCGGCTTTACAAAAACTAAGCATGATAGACAACGACGGGGTAGCTGAAGGGTACACTTGGTTGCATACACTGGATTTCGGTCGATCGGCTTACTTAGGCGAGCAGCCCTTTGACGGTGCGAATTTATCATTTTCGACGCATCCCCACGGGTAAGTACCAACTAAACTCGTTAACGTGGCCTGTCAGCTAAGCACTTGACCTAAAGCACTAGTAAACACTACCAAGGCTGGGGCGGTTGAGGTATTTGCTTACCTCAAAATGTAGGACGCTATAAAAGGGAGCCACCAATTGGCTGAAAATCGGCCACCCCACGAAATGATGCATCTGAACCGTTGGAGGGATAGGCGAGATTGAACGAAGGGTTATGGCAATGGGGGATGGGATGGAGATGGAGATGGGGGATGGGCCCGGGCAAGTTGAGGTTGCCCGTGAGATGATGCCCGAACAAAGAGGGGCAGATACGGGCTGAACGGTGCTGGAAAATGTCGCCGGGATAGCGCTGCGAAAAAGGTTGCCGCTGAGTAATTACCTAGTTAGCAACACAAGAGGAAGTTACTCAAAAATATCGACATGAAGATCTGAGTTTATGAAGGGGAACTTGGTGATTTCTCCTCGTAAATAACTATCGGGTTTGTTAACGAAGTCGAAGTTCGGAGATAGTATACCGTACGCAAATAGAATATGGTGAGGATCACACTGTGCAGCTACCTTCCACTTTTTACGAGTCACTGCAACGAACTACTATGGAGATGTGGCCGCACTACATAAAAGAAAGGCAATGAAAGTTCCGAGTCTAAAAGCAAGCTTTCCATGCCGACACGAAAAGTCGGTGGTAGTGATGATTTTTTTTATATTTTTTTGTTTGCCTTCCAGAGCTTGTTGTTACCTGTCTCGGCTGTTCATAATGGTGGTATCCTAGCTCGGTTTAGTGTGGAAGTTCGCGAACGTGTCAGCGGCAACACATCCGGCAGGAACAAGTTAAACCGTCATCATGCGCGGCCGTTGGCAAAGGAAGTTGAATTGGATTGAATTTTAGTGCATTGTCGTGCCCAAAACCCCCAAACCCAAGAATGAGGTGTGTGGGTAAAAGGGGGCATGACGGGACCGTAGATCCCTCCCCACAATTTGCAACGGTGTTCCAGTTGGTGGTATCGCTGTGGTGTGGACTTGAAAGAGCTTCTTCCTTCATTTCCTTTGATTAGTCTCGATCTCTACATCGCTGGAGAAGGCTTCCGGATCGGAACTCCGTAGTTGGAGCCATATTGTGGGACTATCGACTATGAGGTATGGTGTATACATACACTAGTATTCGTGATTTATCGTGGGACTTGTATGAATCGCCTCGTGGAGATGATGCCCTTGTTCACGATGCACATGGGAGCAATGCGTGACGTACATGTCGATGCTGATGTTGATGCCTCGATGCCTGCAGTATCTTCAACAGTTGCCATCCATTCACTCTCTGTGACTCCATGGAATCTAGGAGTCCCACACAAGAGACGGGGAACTGCACGGATGCATGAGAGATTGAACGGGTAAGGGCCAAAAAAACAGCGATCAGCTCGCTTGATGCGACTGTTACGGTTAGGTTTGCGACCCTCTTCAAGACCTTGGGGGTTGCTGCCCGCCCATACCGTTGCGGTGGAAGGCCGGCCAGTGTCTTCGAGAGCGCATACCTTCCACTTACTATCCATGCAGCAGAGTTCCCCGACCGCACGCAGTCCCAGGTCCTGTCCCGTCCACCTGTGCAAGCAGACTACGTGTGTACTGCTACATACCTCTAGGTATGTGGCACCGGCGCCAGCGCCGTACCGGCGGATCGGCTCCCTTTCTAGCTAGGGTCCAGACTCGACAGGGTTGCAACGCACACATCAGAGCGTCACCCATTGATCGACGTGCACTAATAGCCAACTTTCCAGTTTTGGAAGAGCCGTTTTGCCGCTCTTCTCTCTTGGGGGACCTCATTTCCCGTTTGCTGAACCGTTTTCTGAACCGTTGGTCTGTGAACTCTTTTCTTCACGACACAGTGAGCGAGCGAGTTACAATGCACACACACCAACCAAAAAAAAAAAAAAAAAAAAAAAAAAAAAAAAAAAAAAAGACTTCTTAACACTATACAGCCCCTGTCCAATCCAGAGTCAACCCGATTTCCTTACGCAAGTGCAGTAAAAACCCCTGCTTTTGCTAAAGATTTCGGTTGCCCGCATTCCCTCTGGTGGTAAGGACTGCTAACTGCTAACTGCAATACTAATAGCCCAGATTTGCAAAAGCAGGGGTCTGATTTTGGTGGGAGAGCACACTTATACCCTTGTACCGGGGGGATAGCTGCTTCAGGTGGCCCACTTTTTTAGTCCATTGGCAGTCATCCAGTGGCCGGGAGGTTCATTTCTGGTCCGTGCGCGTGCACCCTCTTTTGCAAAACCCCCCCTTTTACTAAAAAATCTGGCTGCCGGAATTGTTTGCAAAAGCAGGGGTTTTTACTGTGTCTTCATCTTATTGGCGGTCGATTTGCAGAAGCTCGACAACGTTCAGACGTTAACAGCAACATCGAACATCCCAGCATCGCATCATCTTCCCACCATTCGAGTACCAGTAGCAGTAGCCCTGCCTACTTCAGGCTCTCAATGTTTGGTACTGAATCAAGAATTGAACAGCACTCCATAGGACGAGTATGTAGCCCAAGTGGAGGAAGGCAGCACTGACTGGATCCCGTGTTGCAAGCAGATACACAAATACAAGACCGAAACCGACCTTAAAGACACCCAGAGAGGGAGCGGCTGAGGCAAAGAGGGGAGAGTGTGGGGGCAGGGGCATGATAGGGTCGAAATGTCATGACTTTTTGGAGAGAATAAAACTGTCGTATTAAGAGCCAGGATCCAGCCCTCGTCGACAGCCGCAAGGTGGTGGTTGAGGTGGGACAAGGTGAACGAGGCGCGACCCGCCCGGGGGGGTGGTGACGCCCCAACCCACGAAGCGGGGATCAAGTGCAACGTCGGGAACGCCAGGTCGGCGACCTCGCGCAACGTCGACATCACCCAATGCAAATGCAATGTAAATATTGCATTTGCTATTCTCGGCACTCCTGCACGATGTACGCCCTGTTCCCCTGTTCTGCCGACGGCATTACCATTCTCTCACCATCTTGGTCACTAATTCGACGGATTACGCATTTTCCTCGCAAGT